ATTGAGGTGAAATCAAACGCCAATGATTTAGATTCAGTAAAGAAAGCAATAACATCGGGAACGGTACCTATAGAACTGTCAAAAACCCCCAGACAGTTCATATTCACCCGAGCTCCGGTTTAGCACAGGTAATAATTATTCGGATAATAAATTTTTCAACAAAATCTGTTGCAATGGCTTCTCTCATGCTGTAATCCTTACTACTTTCAGGTTCTTCCACGATGGGTCTCTACCATGAATTGGTTCTAACAACCAAGGAGTACATGCGCCAGGTAATAAACTCTTCCTTCCGTCTTTTGACTCCTTTAAGTATACAGTCTTCATCCTTACGAACCTCATCTGGACATGCTGTAGGTTAGCGAGCTCAAACCAGAATGGTTGGTGGAGATCGCTCCACATTATTATCAATTAAAGGATGTCGAAGACGGTATACTTTCTCTTGCTCTTTCGCCCAACTTTACATTACAGCTGCGCCGCTGCCGCGCCTTAGGTTTGACAATGTTCCTTTCCTTTGTAGGGACATCGAAGAAAATGCCTCGCGGCGTGGGGCGGGCAGCAATTCACTTGTCTTGATCATGCTGTGCATATTTGCTGTACATTTGTAACTCGAGTATAAGACAGACCAAATGTTAATTCTACACTTCTTTATTTTGCAAAGAACTTGCAAAATCAAAATCAATACTACCTCATCTTTCTCCCATGAAATGGATAATATTTTTGCATGTAGAATTTTTAATGTCAGTGTTATATTGATTTATAGTAAAAATGACAAAAATACTCTTATTAGATTGTGTGATAAAAAAGTTGTAATTGTATTAATTATGTTAGATAGGTAATACAATTACTAAATTAGAAAATGACACTTTGTACAGACAAAAATGAAAAATAATATATTCTTAAGAGACAGAGGGTATATAATATCTCATTATTTCAAATATAAAATATTATTCTCTTGTTTTTTTGATAAAAAAACAAATATATATATATATATATTTTATTATCACTCTTACATAATTTTTTATTTATACTTTTCAATATTACTTTTATTAACATATACTTCCTCAGTCTGGCTATCCAATGGTTTTATTTATTAACAAATTCAAGAAAAATGACAAAAATATTTATATTAGTGTCTTATAATGATTAATATAAGTCAACAACCAAACAATTAAACTAAACATTAATTATATATATATATATTTGTTAATATATTTATGAAGTTATTATTTTAATATATTTAATTTACTAAATCGAGCCAATAGGCTCAGCCCCAGCTCGGTTAAGTGTTGTTCTGGGATGAAATGGTTTGAATTTTTTCGGAACTTTGTTTTTTTTGTTCAAGTATGATTTTTCTTGTCGGGTTTGAATAGGACTTTTGGATTGTGTGCCAATCTTTGTTACCTCTAATGCATAAATACATTTTGTGGAAAGAAAAGTGTATTGATTTTTAATCAAACGTGTAAATAATAAAGATAGATAAATGGATGTAATTTTCTTTTTCTTTTAATAAAAATAAAATATTTAATGTGACATATAAAAAAAATAAATATTTAGAGAAGTGTTTTGTCTTTGATTTGAACGCTAACCATTAAAAGCATTATCGGGATATATTTAATTTTGGAATAAAAAATTCATCATCGATTTGATTTTACATCACCCGTTAGAACAAGTATTCGCACCCGAGGCCAGGGCGATTTTTACCTTGGCTCAAAATTAAAGAGGCTTACAATATATAAAATATATATAATAAATATACTTTTTATTTATTTGTATTATGCTCTTTAGAAATAAATATGCAGTAGTTTTTAAAATATTAGTATTATATTAGGATATAGTAGGAATAAAGTAAAAATGATTAAAATAATCTTATTAGTATGTGTGATATAAAGGTAATGACATTTGTGTAATATATTATAAGTTGTAAGAGTATTTGTAACGTTAGCTAGATAGTGCAGTTACTAAAATAGAAAATGAATACTTTGTTATGAGACGGACTAAAATAAAAAAATAGATACTTTGTTATGGATACTTTGTTATATGTAATAAAATTTTATTACCTATAAAAATATATAAATATTATATATTTTATTAAGATATAATATTAAAAGTATTTAAATATATATTTTAATTTTCTTTTGATCATATATACTAATAAAATATACTCTCATTATACACAAGCATTAAATAACTAATCTAAAATTATATCAAATTTTTTAAGTGATATTTATGACTTATTTTTGTTATCTTATACTATTATTTTATAATTTTATTTATTTTCCTAATTTTTTTTATTTAATTTTTTTTCTAATAACAAATACTATAAAAATTTAAAAAATATTTATTTTATATTTAAATACTTTTATATATATAATATTTTTCTATAATAATTTTAACATTGTTATTACTTTATTTATATATTAATAGTAAAAAATATTATATATATATATATCATATTAACCTATAATATTTTATTAGAAGAACATTATAAATATTTTAAAAAATTTTATAGAAGTATTTAATTTGTTCTTTTAATATATATATAAGATTTTATTAAAGTATTGAATTTGTTTTTCAATACTTTTTGTTTTTAGAAAATTTTATAGAAATATTTGATTTGTTCTTTCTAAAATTATTTTTTGTAAAACATTTTATAAAAGCATTGACTTTGTTCTTCCAATAATTTTTTTTGTGATATAGTTATCTATAAATATCATAAAAATTACAATATATATTCGTATTAAAACATGAATATACATTAAAAGGAAAAAATATTTTGTATCTAAATATATTTTAAAAACATTATTTATTTATATATATACGAACAAAAAAGTATTACAAAAAATATATATGTATATGTAAGCCACTCAATTTTAATCTCAATGTTTATAATAAATAGATTAAAAAATAATTTATAATTGTAAATGTTAACTTGATTAACCGATAATTTTCTTCTTCGTCGTCAAAATGACACATACTTGTCCAAATGGGTGATACCTGCCCCATTTGTCGAGAAGTAAATATTTCTAATATTTACCTTAAATATTTATTAACACTATTGTACTTTCTCTACGTAATTTGGACATGCAGAAATATATAGAACCAAGTGTGGTCACGTTTTCCACGTCACATGAATTTTGATGTCGTTGCATAGAAGTCCGACATGCCCTATATGTAGACGACGAGGGGCTCTACTCACTCGTCTGAGTACAAGGTGACTGTTGCTATCTTTATTTGCTATTTTTCATTGATTTTTGGCATATTTTGACAATTATTTTATTTTCATATATCATTAGCTAATAGCAATTACCCTAAAATGTTACACAATTTAATTAAAGTCCATGCCTTAGTAATAAAAGCGAAATGATTTACCATTTAAAATATATAATGTAATTGAAAAATGATGTGTTTATTACAAATAAATCACATTTGCCTACCTAAATAAATTTAAAAATTGAAATTTTAAACTCAAATTTGGTGTATTGCTGTTCTTGCTCAAAAAAAAAAAAAAATAAATAAATAAAAAGAAAATTATCCAATCGGAAATTAGAATTTAAAAAATTAATTTTGGAAAAAAAAGAATATTAAAAAGAATATAATGAATTATACATATATTTAGAAAATAGAGAGTATAATATGCACAAAATAGGTATAGAGATTGAATTTAAAATTTGAAATATAAACATGTATTTCAATCCAATAGTCCGAATAAAAAAGACAGTGATTGTTTTTATTGAAAAAAAAAAAAAAAGATAGAACTCAATTTGGAATTGGCTTGGAATTTTTTTATCACCTCCTTTATGAGTGATTTCTCTTTTTGTTATTATTATTTTTTTTTCTAACATATTTGAAATAAAATAAAAAGTGATATTTTGTATTAAAAAATGATTATTTTAATTTTATTTGGAATTAAAGTTTGAAATTTTATTTAAATGATAGTTTGTATATAATATTTTATGAAAAGATATTATATTTTTATAAAAAAATCGAATATATAATAAATAATATAGAAATTATATTGCAAGTAAACCCAAATACTTTCTTCACTTGATATTTGCTTTTATATTTCGGTTTTTTTTTTTTTAAAACAAAAATTAGCTTAGTTTAAGAAGTTATTTTAATATAATATATTAAAAAACAAATAATATAGTTTTATAAGATTTTTATAGTAAAACGTTATTAAATTTAAATAAACTGAGCCATAATTTACAAAAAATAAAAAATTAAAATTAAATAAATTAAAATATATAGAGAGAAAGAGAATTACGAATTAAATAAATAATTGACTTCCACTATGCTTCGTCTAGTATAATATTCCATAGAATATTATTATTATTATTATTATTCCATTGATGAAATATCAACATCCTTTTTTTGCCCCGGTCCTTGCTGATAAAAAAAGAATATTCCTTGTTCTCCTTTGTCCATATTCTTTCAGTCCATTGGGTGTGTTTGTTTTCATTCAATGGATTTTGAGTTGAAATTTAAATAATAAAATTTTTGAATTATAATAATTTTATGATGTGACATAAATAGATATTAATGTGATATTTTGAATGTAAAATTAATTTTGAGTATAATATAGAAAATAAAAAAATAAGTGTTTGATTTGATATTTTTGAAAAAAAAATTGGATAAATAATAGAATTTGGGATAAATTCTTCAAATATAAAATAAAATAATTAATTTTTTTTATATTATATTATAAATTTATTTTATATTCAAAATATCACTTTAATCTCTATTCATATCACATTAAACAACTATTAAAATTTAATTTTTTAATATTTAAAAATTCAAACCCGAAAACTAAAACTCACACACAAACACACTCTAAAATATTTAGTATAATGTATAGTATAATTAAATTTTATTAATATATATTGTATGTTTGGACAAATCAAAAGAATAAAAAATATATATATATATTTTTATATAAAATTGTTTACCTCAAATAAATTAATAGTAATTGATCGGGACCTCGAGTCCTCACACGTGGCAGATCTCCGGTGTATAAATAAATGGCTTCCGCCCCAGGTGAGCCAATTTCAAATTCCATCCAAGCGATTCGGAAACCGTTAGCCGGAGAAGTATCGGAGAACGCGTGACAGTAATATGACCATCTCTTCTGCCAATGACACGTCCGAAGGGTAAATCCTCATGTGCTGATGCAGTTCTCGATCCTGTTTGGTTCAATTTTCTAGTAGTATATTATAATACCATTAATTTGTTTTTTAACGAAGTAATTTGCGATCGCTGTTATTCTGTGTCCTCGATTTGGAGATGTGACTTGTGTTTATGCTGAGACTGTGCTGTGCTTCAGTTTTTTCTGATTTTGATTCTGAGATTGCTTTTTTATTTTTAATTTTAATTTATAGCGACATAGATTGGCTGTCGGTTAGGCGTAATGTCAAAATATTCATCCATAATTTTGAGACTCTGAATTTGGAGTTTTATCCTTTTTAAAATCTGCTTCTTGTTCATTGGCCGCTGTTAGGTGGAGGTTCGGAATCTAAGGTATGAACCAGATAGGAAAGCAATGGCATTTCTTTTTTCCAAAATAAGACTTTTGCTATTAAATTTCTATGTCTACAACGCACATATGTTCAACACACTGTTAGGTTTCATTTATATATATATATATATATATAAGTTCAATTTGATGTTGAATGTTGGCTAAATATATTATATTTGTATATTGCATACTGCTGTGGATCTCCATTTCTAGAATTTCAGTTTCAGCATGATTACTTCTTTTCTAAACAGATTTCTCAGAAATCTTATAAATGGCAGATATTAATGTGCACCTTATTCCTTCTATGGCCTGTGGCCATAGTTTCTCTATCATTAAATAACTGAAGTACCGTTATTGTCGTCACCAGAATCCGTGCTCTGGAGAAAATTGCTCCTATTGAGGCAGTATTGTTTGACATCGATGGCACATTATGCGATTCTGATCCCCTTCACTACGATGCTTTCCGTGTAATGCTCCAAGAGGTAAGATCTTCTTTTTGTAGTTCTTTAAATCTACCAGCATTCAAGAGGCTGTTGTGGGATGTAAGTATATTAATATTGGAAATGTTTGATACCATAATACAAAATTTCTCTCAACTCTAGTCCTACCGAAACACACTTGACTAATTTTAGTTTCATGAAAATCTACTTTTAGTTGAACTGTGACTGATTCTTATATTACAAAGATTTTTGCTATCAAAATGAACAAAATCCATTTACTTGTGTCTTAGATCATTTGAAGTATTTTGTAGATTTTTGATACTTTGCAAGTAATTGTATCAATAAAACTACCCAAATCTTTTCCAGTGAGACTTAAATTGAAATGCATGCCATTATATCTTAAATTGAGACCTCAACTGACATTGATCCCTTTCATTAGATTGGCTTTAATGGAGGTGTGCCGATTACCGAAGAATACTTCATTAGAAACATTGCTGGGAAACACAATGACGACATCGCAGCTATCCTTTTCCCAAATGATGTCCAGAGGGGTCTCAAATTTACCGAAGACAAAGAGGCCATGTTCAGAAGGTTCCTCTCTTGTCCATTTGATTTCATTTCTAAATCGAACCCAAAAGAAAATTTCTTTTCTCAATCTTTCCTTCCAACACACAGAATAGCTAAGGATAAACTGGAGCCCATAAAAGGGTTACGTAAACTCACGGCCTGGATTGAAAATCATGGACTTAAGCGAGCTGCTGTCAGCAATGCTCCCAGACCAAACGCCGAACTGATGCTCTCAGTCCTCGGACTGTCGGATTTCTTCCATGCTGTCATCCTCGGAAGTGAATGCACACGTGCAAAGCCAGCCCCTGACCCCTATCTAAAGGCGCTCGAAGTGCTCAAGGTGTCGAAGGAGCACACATGTGTCTTTGAGGTTCGAGATTTCATTGATTCCCCTGTTTCTTGAATTTCCTTATTAGTTTGGACATCAGACTTATTTTTTCAAACCGTTGCTCGGTTAGGATTCTGTTTCAGGAATACAAGCCGGTGTTGCTGCCGGGATGCCTACAATTGGGTTGACAACTCGGAATCCATCCGACCTATTGATGCAGGCGAAGCCCTCTTTCCTTATCAAAGACTATGAGGATCCGAAACTCTGGGCTGCCCTCGATGAACTAGATAAGTCTTTCTAATCCCCGATGATTTCTTTATTATCGATTCATGAAGTAATAGAATAACGACGAACATGGTTCGCTAGAAACTCCATTCGATTCGTGCCGTGTGTTTCTGTGTTGTTTTAGTTGAATATTCGAAAAGAAAGTTTAGAGTAAGAATGATAGAGTGAAGAAGATAGCCATCATCCTTTTCTATTTATTATTAGAATTCTTATTACATTACCTTATATTCTGCTCCAAATAAAATTCATTTGGACTTCTTTTTTCTTTTTTTTTTTTTTTTTCTTTTTTTAAATGTTGTCTATGCTACCATTAGATGAATGATTTAGTATTGCAGTTTTAATCATATATAATGTATTGTAATAATTTGATACTAAATGTTGTTATCTCACCTTGATTCTGCAATGAATGATGTATATATATATATATTATATTATTTGTAGTTGTCTCGAATGTATTACTTTGCTGGAGGAAATATTAATTTATATTTTTATTATAAAAAGCTAGTAATTGTATTTAATCAAAATCATTATTCATCATAATCTTTACATAATTCTTCATGACTAATTACAACAGCATTACAAACTATAACTGCTAAACAAACTTGAGTGTTTCTTTAGGATGTATTTTTTTTTATATATTAATTTTTTTCGATAACATCGAATCACAAATATTTTTTATATTATACTAAAAATTAATTTTATATTCAAATTATGATATCAATACTTATTTATATAACATTATATTAATTTTATTATTCAAATTTCAAATCAGAATTCAAACCTTCGTACCAACATACCCTTTATGTTTTAAAGTATATTATACCAAAAATATTACCAGAAAATAGAATATATAGTATAAATATATGCACATCATCTCCAGCGTTTATGAGGTTGCAGCTTTATATTTGGAGTTTTACATCTCCAACCTAATTCCATATTCAACACCATTTTTGGTTTGCTACAGTACAACACCATTTTTGGTGTTGGTGTTGTACTCTAGCAACTCACAACTCCAATTTCGGCATTTTTTACTTTTACCTTTTTTTTTTTTTTTTTTTTTTTTTTTTTTTACTTTTTTAAATTGTAAATTGGCCCCTATAAGAATTAATTTGTAATTTTTTATATTTTAATTGTATATGTTTGTATTTTTTTAATATAAAAAATTGTTTAAAATAATATATAAAATAGAATATTTAGAGAATATTTTTTTTGGAATTGAAAATAGAGTTGTGAGTTGAAATTAAATTACTGTAACTAGAGTTATAACTGTTATCCGGTTGGAGATGGCCTAATGTGTTTATTTGATTTTAATTTGAAAATAAATTTTTTATTCTGAATTTTTATTTAAATAATATATAGGAGTTAAATAGTTCTAACTTAAATTAATTCAGGCCCAAAGATGATTTTTTTGGAGCTTTTGCTGTCCGTGGTCCTGTAAGCCCAATCTGAAACAGATCCATTATTCCACTTACCGGTAATCCACCGGATCCCGGACCGGGGTCCAGGATCTCTTATCCTACAAACCGACATAGAGTGTCCAGTGCAGAGAGGAATTTTTAGAAATGGCGAATTCGAATGGAGCTTCGATCGACAGCGTCGCGAAGGAGAGCATGGCGGGGAGGTTGTCGCTCATCGACGACTTGTATTTCCCTCGGAAAGTACATCCTGGCGCTTCGGCTGACCCTTCCCATCGCAAGTCTCTCCTTCTCGATCTCCTTTCCAACGATGCTGCCGTCTTTTTAGGTATTGTTTGCTATTGATTGCTTGAAATTTTTTGTATATTCACGTTTTTGGCGTTTTGGTGTTCTTATCTGATTTTTCGGCTTCGTTTAGTAAGGTTTACGTATTTGCAGTGTGGATTGCTGCAGGATTTATAGACAGTGGAATTCGTTTCATTCTTTTCGTTTTGTTTCTCTTACTTAGGGTTTTGTTCTTTTAGTTCGTTTCTAATTATATTTTTGCATATTTGTATATGTTTTGTGCTGCTTGTGAATTTCATTTTGTGTTTAGGTGAGTTTGGTACAGATACTGGAACTGCTTAGAAATGATATTTTTAGAAAAAATAGAATTGCAGTGAAAAGGAATTCAACTGATAATGAAAACCGTTTGGTGTGGAAAACGAGAGAATGAGTAAAATTTAAATAGTAAAAATAAATAAAAAGTTAAACTGATTCTCATACTTTCAAAACTGCCGTCAAACTCTTCATGGTTTATTATTTATTGAAGGTATATTTGAAATTTCAAATATTTAGAAACAGAGATTCTGAAATTCACAAGTCAAACACTCTTAAATAAGACAGCTAAAGGGGTTTGACCCAGAGTTTATGAAACCATCAGGAGTCTGACGGCAAATTTGAAAATATAGAAGATTTGACGCAATTTTGTGAAATCATGGGTGTGTTTCGTGCAATTTTTCCAAAAAAAAAAATGAAAAAAAAATTGTATGTTCTCAATTTTCATTACTCTACTTTCATTTTTGTGTACCAAACACACCCTTAGTGTATTAAAAGCTACTTAGGATTGTAATTTATATGTAAAGATAAGTATTGCACCATACTTATCTTTGTATCTACTAGTTTACATCAGGGGATGGTATAGCTATAAAATGGCACATTCCTGCTTTCAGTGTTCTGGTTTAAGTTCATGTTTGGTGCTTAATTGACACTAATTGATTCAGAACGGTACGGGTCGAAGTTGACACTTGAGGAGCTTGGCCAATTCGATGTGTTGAAAGAGGATTATGAAATTAATTGGCACTTAAATAACCTCCGAAGTGTAATGAGCCCAACAGAGAAGCAGAAGAAATCGAAGTCAGTAAAGATCAAGAATAGGAGACTGGCCTATATGGATAGGCTAGTTATGGGTGGACAATATTTTTCGGAAGATGCAATGAGGGAAAGAGAACCATTTTTGCATCATGAGTATGTCGGGAAGTTTCAGGACCTGAGTGGGAGGAGAATGGCGAGACCTGGTGAACGATGGTTCGAGACACTCATTAGGCGATCGGAAGAGGCCGTGTTGGTGGAGAGAATCAGAGGGGAGCAGCAAAGATTAGGTGTAGCTGAGAGTGATTGGGTTGGAAATGAAATAGAAAGACCCAACGAGGAAGAACAAGAAGAAGAAGAAGAAGAAGAGGAAGAAGATGAGAGTGAAACAGAAAATGCTGTGGAGAACGAAATAGAGGAAGATGCGGTTCCTTCCGGAAGTTCCGAAATTCCTAAGGTAATTATTTTTCTTCATGAATTAATGCTTCGTTGTTATGATTATTAACTCATTATTTTACGTTTTGGAAATCATTAGCGAAGAAAAAATATTTGCAAGTACAATGCCAAGTTTTCGTTATTGTTTGAGGTCATGCTGTTTGTTACATACCATCACTGCGATACTGCCGAAATTTGAGGTTAGATGAATTATTGCTTGCTAGAGCAGTAGCTTGGCATTTCCGTCCTTCATTTGGTTGACATATTTTAGAAAGTTAAGGTTTTCCTCTACATCTTGCTCAACTCAAGCTGTCTGCAAATAGGCTGATGCAATTTGCAGAAGTTGATGTTGTGAATTACCGACAATAATGTTTTTTAATATTCTACATTGCAACACAAATTGGCTTCCACAAAACTGAGTTATCAGAATAACTTCCTTTTCTGTTCAAATTGTTCCATGCTACCAGACAAGGTCATGTAATTTTATCCTGGTTGTGTTCGATTCAGTTATGACATACTCATGCTTTTATGATGTAAATTGAAAATGCCGCAGTTTCAATTTAAGTGACGCATCTAATGACATATGTTGTGTTGTTTCACATTCTCTAGGGGCATGTGGATAATAGCGGTGGCGAAAGTAGGGGGTTGTCAACTATAGAAATGGAAGGTAACAGTTTGTCCGCTGAAGAGATGCAAGACCGTATGGAACAGTTCACTTACATAATGCAGCAGAAGTTCTTGTCGGGGGAAGATCATGAGTATATGGACTATTCAAAGATAGACGAGGACGAGACCTTGGATGATCATTGGATGAAAGAAGCCAACCAAGATGCAGAAGAGAAGTATTTCGATGATATCTAATATATTATTGAGTCGATGCTGCCTCTAATGTCCATAGAAAACCATATTTGATGTTTTACTAGTTTCCATTGTCGGCTGCTCTATATTGTTTTCAGCTTTCACACATATATATATATATATATTTGTTTCTATTGAACTTGGGGTGAGAAGTTTCAGTTGAGCTCCACAGAAGCCGAGCTGAACTTCGAAATAGTCATGAGTTATTCTACGGCTTAAACATGAATTGAGCGCATATTTAACTCAGAAGCTACAGGTGAAATGCGGCTGGAGTCGCCATTCAAGACAGCATGTGATGGTGAGTCGATTTCATTCTAGCCGCGACATTGTCGTTAGGTAAGTACATTTTTGATCTTGCTAGAAATTTTCTTTTCAATGCAGTCTCCTTAGTTGATTTTTAATTTCACTTCTATATCTACTTCATAATTTACACTGAAAATTAAATTGAGTTTATAAATTTTAAAATTTGTTTCGACAGCTGAAACTCTGTTACACGTATTGCATATTATTCATATCCTAGGATTGTAAACATGTTACATTTTGATGATAATATAAAATTAGATTCAAATTGTAGTTTCATTTTAAGCTACTAGACAGTAATAAAACTTCAATATAGCCTTCTCTACCATGGAAATGTGTTACTTTCCCCCCTATTTGTCAACTTAGGGTGTGTTTGTTTGGGGGATTGGATTTTGATTTGGGATTTGAATAGTAAAAATTTTGAATTTGAATAGTTGTATGATGTGATATAAATAGGTGATGATATGATGTTTTGAATGTAAAATTGATTTTTAGTATAATATAAAAAATGAAAAATAGGTGTTTGATTTGATGTTTTTAGTTACACGCAAAGTTCTAACTGTAATTTGTGAGAAAATATTCGTTGAAAAGAGATCAATAAATAACATAAATTAAAGTGAATATATACATAAAAAAAATACTTCAGTGTGTAAAATAGAAATTATGGTTAACTGTCCCGGAAAAAAGCTGGTGTGGATATAGATAGTTATGCTAATACTATTAAATACTTGAGACCTTATTTCGTAGGCGCGAGGATGTTGGAGCATCAATCAGTTCCAGGCAACGTTAAGCTCTAATGAAATCCACGACAGCTCAATCAGACCGCCACAGTAGTTTCCGTGTCGGGACTGGAGGAGCCAATCCAGGTATGTCGCGAATATCTTTGTTGTCCGGGTGAAGTAACTGGAGATTAAATTGGATCAGTACCAATGCATCATGATTTATGATAACATTAAGTAAATCACTGTTTCTAACTCGAAAAAAAAAAGGTTCTAGTTTAGTGTCGCAGGGAGAATATTTAGAATTCTCTATCCTAATGCATGTTATTGAGATTCCTCGATCCCATTTTCCGAAACTTCTTTATAAAACATGAATGGATTTGAATCCTATGTAACCTGCACAGCTGCCGTTACATAGGATATCAAACCTACTGATTAATATGTATTGTTAACTCTTAGATAGGTAAGTAAGAAAATGTCATAAAGCCATAGAACCTATTAGGAAATGGATAATAGAAAGAGATCTGACCTTTACTATAATCATAGCTATTACACCCATCACGATTAGAAAAAGTAGGGCCATGATACACCGATCAGTTACAACCTGATTAACAAAGCAACGTAAGTGAAGACTGCAACAGCATGAGGTAGAGATTCAAAAGCAATGAGTGTTAGATATTGACCTGCCTACCAATTTCACTGATCAACTTTGAGGCCCTCTTCATTGAAAAATGAATCGAGTCAAGCTCATTAACGACTCTGCTCATTTGTTCAGTCTGGTGATGAGATTATAATAAGAAACAAATGAGTCTCACGTCACTGAAGGAAGTAAATTGTAGGAATTTTCAAAGCCTCTTCAAGTCCAACATACCTGAGCTTTGAGAGCTGCAGCCGTTTCTGTTCCAACATTAACGGTATCATGAACCACCTGCCACACAAAGGATTGATGGATTACGTTTTGAATTGACGTATATCATTTTCAGCATGATATTGAAGTCCTAAAGTTAGATTTTGTAATTGACATTGTTTATCTAAATTGCACAAGCTCATTGAATCTTATGTTTCGATTATAATTTCTCCTAATATTGTACTATTTTACATTTGTTCAGTTCCAGTAAGTTCCTACTCAGAGTGCTATGATTCTAGTTTAATTACATTAATATTTAATATCGGTTCTAAGTATATCTTTTTGAAATCACACTATATTAGATGCTAGTTTCATTTGATCCAATGACAAATAACACCAAGCAGTTTCACTTTCTAATGCATACCTTTTTGGCCCTGTCAATTGCTTGATCAGTCTCATCCATCATCTGATGTCCGTGATCAATTAATTGTTGATTTGTCATTTCTGCAGGATCACGTATAGAATTTATAAGGAACAATTTGCTGGAGGAGATGGATTGAAACTCAAAACTAAGGCAAGTCGCAATAAAGATGAAGGAACATCGAACATGTGAAAGAAATTGAAGTCGCGCAATATTAGTGGAAAAGACATCATCTCAGAAACTGGTAAGTTACAAATAGCAAATACAGCATAAACCTGAATTAATTTTTGAGAGGTCATGGTTATATTTTCATAACTAATTATAGCTGCAATTGTACATCACAAGTTCATATGGAATTCAATTGATAATTGACAAGCACGTGTCGGAATGGTTCTAGCTAGCTCTGCTTTGCATTGTTTCCTCTATTCCTAAATTCACATTAATGATGTTTATGTTAGAATATTCCATTTTGTTTAGACATAAAAGAACTTATGAATCTTGTGAAAATTATCGTATTTTATTTTGCATTTCAGTTTTGTGGTATTCCTGTATATGTAGTCTTACTTTTAGTAATCTGACCTGTACTTAGATATAAGAAAGCCATTAGTATTTTCAAGGAATGCAATTGGCATGTTCAAAACATAAACATATCGGACAACCGGTTGTCATAATCAAATATTAGGCATAGTAGAAACACCTTAAGGCACCAACAAAAATCAAGAGATCAATGAACCTGAATAGATTCTGTCATTCCACTCACAGACGACAAGAAAGTGCTTACCCGAAGCATGCATAGCATTGTCTTCTGGAAGTCCTTCACCTGGGCCTTCAAAAATATCTGCTCGCTTGTTCTCAAGAGTACTTGTATATCTGCCACAGTAGTGATGCAGATTCATCAATTCAAACTACAAGTTTAAGATAGATGGCTCATATTATTATAATTGTGTCCTGCCTTTAAGTTTTTGAATGAAAATAAATCCACAAATTAAGAATACAATGAGCGGAGTTTGCTCCTAAGGTATGCTAAGACAGAGACTTCCAATTGACATGTTCTGAAAAAGACACACCGAAATCAAAGAGACTAATTCACCAAGGATCAAGGAAACAAACAAGGCAACATTGTAAAACTAGGACTAGTAAAAATTGCACCATGGCAAGCCAGTTATGCTTACTCAGAAGAGACTTACTGCTTTTTGAGGGCAACATAAGAATTCAACTCTTTGATCTGCAGAAAAGGTCACATTAAAAACCTAAATAAAAGGGTAAGCAACTCTTTATGAGTGAAGGAACTGAATGAATATAGATTACCATGGATTGTTTCTTCTCATTAAGCTTCTTGCTCATGTCCGGGTCATTTTTGTACCCCGAGTCCTTTATCGCTCGATCAAACTCTTTAATAAGCCTAAGAAAACACCTCATACATCATTCCTTGTACATTTCAAATGCATGTAGAATACACGTGGTATGCCTCAATAGGAATCATCCTTTCAAGCTAAAAAGGTAGCCCAGATGGTTCATCCACAGCTCTCATTTTTATTTTTTGTAATAACCAGTATGTATCATGAAAATTATGCTAGTTTGAGGAGAACAGTTTGAAATTGTTTCAAACATAGTAAAGATCACCTCAGCTATGTTTCAACTTGCAACGAACACACTTAATGCCTCAGGGGCTGCAATCAGTATCGAATCCAATATCCATGAAGCTCTTGTTTTACAGAAATTACTCGAAGAAAAATGGAGAAGTAAAGATGCATACTACTTTCTCAACTGTAATCATACTCAAGCCATCAGTTAGGAATAAAATTTTCACATATAAAAAACAACTCAAAACACTAAAAGTAATCAAAACCACAGGCAAACACACCCCTATAGTTGTAACTTGTGGCCGGATGTTGAAGTTTTGTCGGATACAATCTAAATATGGCCATGTCAAGGCACTGGGATAACCCAAATTTGTTTCTAACATGTGAAGAGCCCAAAGCAGTATTTTTTTTCCCATCACATTTAACTACTACTACAGTTCATTCCTGAAATCACAATGTCATCTGATAGTTTCTATGTGAAACCTTTCTCTTATAACAAGGTAATATCATCAAATGCTGCATTTGCTAACATGCAAATAGTTTAAGAAATGAAAAAACTCAGAAATTCCATAACTCAATGCAGCTAATATACACAATTGAGTTTGATCGAACCAATTAACCAAATACCTCTTACATTCGCGCATCTTGTCCGTGAGCTCTTCCAGTTGCCGATTCTGCCTATTGGCGTCCTTGATTTTCTCCAATTTCTGGAATCCATTTCTACATTATTTGATCAAAGAAATATTCAGTTGGATGAATGACTAATAGTGCCCTCCTTCGCATAAAAGCATACATATACATCCAAATATATATAAAAAAAAATGTATACAATCAATCGATAAATCTCTCTCTATATTATGTATCAGTATCACCATCAAAATTCATCGCCATTTCAAAAACAAAGCAATAGAACTTACGAGAGAGCGCGAAAATAATCAGAGATCTGGCCCTCGATCTCGGTGAGCTCTTCGCTCATCATTGCTCCAGACAATCCAGAAATGTTGAAACGATAGTTGGCATAAAATTTCACCGGATATACAGCATACAATAAAATCAATCCCCCTACGACTCCGATGGAACAAACCTAAAAGACAGATTTCGATCTCGACCTCAGACTAAACATCAATGAGGGAAGGAAGGCTATGGATTCTGATAGATGATTCATTCCAATGCTCCGTTCCTTCAACCATACTCTCTGTCAATGGCGCTCCTTCTTTCTCTTCATGTGCAACCATTTCTGTTGTGCCTTCACAACTTAAGATTTCGCAAATAAATATGTTCCGGTAATATCATTTCAACTCCTCCTTCTTCATGCATTTTCGATTTAAGTCCTCCTTAAGTTAATAATTTCAATTTTATTTTATTTTTAAATTGCTAAATAATAGTAATAAGCAAAATAATTAGTACCCCATGAATACTAGGGTTTTGTTATTATTATTATTATTATTATTGTAATTTGCAATTAATTTAAAATAGAATATTAGATACTGTGATTTTATTTAAATAATATTTTGATATGATATTTTTTTTAAAAATAATATATTTTTATTAAAAATTATATAAAATAATAATATAATTTTAATTTAAAATATTAAAAGAATAGACTATTAATAAGTTCAAAATACATATTATTTAAATTAGAATTCAAAACTCACATTCAAATTTCATATCAAAACAAACAAACCCTTACACTGCTGTTATTATCGCATCAAATACTCCATAAAAAAATATAAAAAATACAGAGAAAGATAGAAATTTTATTTTTTTAAAGAATAATAAAACAATAAAATAAATATATTTAAATTAAAAAAATAATTGAAATAGACGACAACAACAACAAAAAAAGAATTTTCTTTTAATTCTTTATAAATTTTTATTTAAATGAAAAAAATAAAATCAATTTAATTAAGTATATTCATTTTGTATTTTATAAAATTAATAATATAAAACATAATTTTTTTATATTATACTATTAACAATATATATTTATAATTTTCATACAAATCAGAAATAGTTGAACCAACACGGTTACAAAAATATATAAAGCACAATTAATTAATTAATTTTTTATTTTTTTATTTTAATTCTATTTTGGGTGAATTCCTAATTGAATTGAAGTGCAAAGTTGCAGTAGAGCATTTCTCATTTGTTAGTTTTGGGCACAGGGAAAAAAAGAAGAAAAGAAGTGTAAACCTACGCAACATAATCAAGCGAAAATATCGCCGTCGCCGTCGCCGTCGCCGCGATTACGGTGGTGGACTTAGAGCTGCGGAGTAGCATCGGCCGTCGGCACTATGGACTTCGCCAGGCAGGCATTGCATCTGTTCGGAGAATCCGACGAAGAGGACGAGAACAACAACGACGGCGATGAGGAGCAGGACAGGGAGCCGCCATCGGAGCAACAGAAGCAGCAGAGCTCATCCTCCTCTTCCTCAGCTTCGTCTTCTTCCACTGGACGCTCCTCCTCCGATGGCTCTTCTTCAGCCTCCTCATCCTCCAATCGCAGCAGCAGCGGGGAGGAGGACAACGACGCCAATTTTGGGGAGGTGAGATCGTCTCCCGTTAATAACGATAATTACGATTTCAACGACGATAGGGGTTCGCACTATGATGAGAACGACGAGGAGGTTGAGGATAAAGATCTGTTCGGGTCTGATAATGAGGATTACGTCAACACACCTTCCAACAGTACCTACGCCGTACCCAGTATGCATCTTTTTCGTTTTCTTTTTCCTTTCTTTGTAATAATTTCTATGTGGAGTTTGAAGCCCCTTGGATTGAGGTTTTGGTTTTGTGTCATTCTTCTTCCAGTTGAGCTAAAAGCATGTGTTTTTGCTAGTTTAGAATCAAATTGCTAGCTTTGTAAGCATTTTCTCAGCTTAGAATTAGCTTACCACAAGTATACTATTTGTCTTCCTGGAAAACTTGTGTTTACAAGTGTGTCGTGTTCTTTTCCCCATGATTTTTGTTATTTGGGTTTGATCCCTTCCTCACATGTGGATTGAGACATACTTATATCTGTATTCTAGTAACTGTATTGAACTGGCTTTATGGTATTGGTAGTGTATTCAAAGTTGGAACTGTTATACTCGTTGGAGATCTGGGCCGAATATCGATGCAAGCAAACTAGTCTGTAATTAATTATGTTGTTTTGGATGTATTCATAGCGAAGGGATGTACTGACGGGTTAGGTTGACAAATGTACAGTATTTCGTTGAATGAGTTAATAATGTTCGCCTTCTGGTTATAGAGGTTGGTCTCCTTTACACAATCTCACGTGCGTTGATTCCGTTGCTCTTTCTCTGTTATACTAGTTTTGCCACCTGTCCGCAACACAAACAACCACACAAGAGGAGGTTTTGCACGTGGGCGTTGGAATGATAGAGGGCCAGGTCTCCTTCCACGTCCTGGCCCTTACCCGCAGAGACAAGGTTATGGTTCGAAATTCTTTAATGGTCATCGCGATGAACGGTTTGTTTCAGAGTTGAAATTCTCAAAGAGTGAAGAAACATTAGCCAGAAAAGCCATTGCATTCCAGGAGGTACCGTATTGTCGATTGTTTCATTAAGTTGAAGCTTTTTATTTACAAAATGTGTAGAGCACTGTTAACTTTTAATTATTTTGGTTTCGAATTGGTTAGTTCATAGTGAAGCACTTTGTGTAGTTGCCTTTTTTAGCATGTATTTTTATTTGAGCAGAGCTCTTGCGATCTAGAGTACTGTGATTTTCTGGTATTCTCAACAGCCGGATTTTTCAGCTCCTAGAGTTATGCCTTTTCTGCATTCTCTTCAGCACTTGTTGATGCTACAATAAAGCATTACTTGTTAGTCGCATCTTAATGTTGAAGTTGGATGAGAGAATGAAATGGCATATTGCTAGAAAAACATTTATTGAAACAAAATTAAGGATTCTCTTTCTCACTCTATATGTATTACGTAATAACTATTGGAAGCCGTTACAATGAAATTTGAGATTTCCTAATTGGCATTTTACAAATAGTGTTTGTACTTAGTCGACTTAACTCTGTTATACATTCCTAATTTAACCAAGCTTGAATAATTTAAGCTGGAATATGTGGGGCGTTTTACTCTTGGCTCCTTCTTCTTCAACTCCCCTCTCTATAGTGACACAAATGGAAGGAAACAATAACATGTAGAAAAGGTTGCATAACCAAAAGTTATGCTTCAGTATTTTGCTTGGGAGGGTACTTCTTACATGTTGCAGTACATAATTTAGTTTCATCATTAAAATAGAAGAATATTCCATTATTTGATCCATTTTGGAATGACTATTTTGTCCACAGCCATGTGAACTTGCTTGCTTGAGCCGGGTAGAAGGTGGGGAGGTCTGCTTTGATGATCGCAGTTTGGTGAGTCTCTCTTTTCTATTTCCTCATAGTTTTGCAGGATTCTTATTTCTTGCTTATCTGGATATTTTGTCTCATCATGTTCTTAGAGGCTATTTAAGCGGCTTATAACGGAAGATGTTGGGACTGACCTCAATCAAGGTTTTGATACTTTCACTGAGAAGAAAGGTATGCTGCATGAAATTGCACATTTCAATAAATCTCTTTCTGTTATAGTGCTCTGTGCTTCCAATATTATTAGCAATAATCAATTGTTAAATGTTGCCTATTCTTCTTGCGTGTACCAGACCTGGGTTCTCAAGGCTTTGGTGACCTTCTAGCCACAATAAGAAATAAAAATATACCTCTTCAAAACATGCACTTTGTGGTAAGATTATATATTATACTCAATTTTGATGCATATTATCAAGATGCATTTGATGATTAACTTTTGATTTTCTTTGTCTAATTCTTCTCTACAGACGTATCGTAACAACCTTAACAAGGTAATTCTTGTTTCCTTTGACTATGCTTAATTGTTTCTACTTTTGTTTCCTTGAATTCATTATTGGCTCCAGATGACTAGTAACTACAAAGATCTAGAACAATATTTTTCTGCGTAGTATCATTTTTTTCTTAGAAAAAAAACCTTATGGACAATAAATTCCCATTTTCAAGAGTTTAGATATATGAATGAGCTTAAAAGCTTGAGAATATTATTTCCCAACTTACAAGGATATATATCACCCTTATAATCAATACATGGTCTGAATTATTTTTCCTAATGATTTCTTAAAATCATATCAAGATAGGAGATACTCTCTCAATTAAGCTACATATGTTAATAAGGTTTAATCTGGTTTTTGACAGGCTTTAGTTAGAATACTGACCACTTCTAAGTTGGTAAATAAATCATGCAAATATTTTTGTTCTCAATCTTTTCTTTGATTTAAAAAAAAAAGAAAAAGAAAAAGATGTAATAGCTATACAGTCCTTCCTTACATGTTGGAGAAAACTCCCCAGAGCATTTATATAAAATCTGACAACAGGAATCTGGTTTTGGGCATCTTTGCACTAGGCTTGTGTCAATCCTTTTACCACAAAATTCACATTTGGTTTTAATGAACTCTTTTTTATTTGATATGGTAAACAGAGAATTCTTCTGCATATATTACATATGATAAGTTCAAAAAGTTCCTATTGAGTTAATAAACAGGAAATGAAATTTGGGAACTTAATTTGTAAAATGGAATTAGTCAAGTTTTGTAAATTTGGGAACCCCATTTGCAATCGAGGTTATCTTATTTTTCCAAAGAGATGAGCCTGAGAGTTAGTTGGCTTTCCTTCTACAATCTACAGTACTGAGGCTTTTTGTAAATTGAGACGGATCGGTCATCACTCAAATGTCCTCTCCTTTCAGTTGAGCCTTATTTGAATCCTCTCCTGCCATGACTCACTTATGCTAAATTTATTCTACATTGTGGAATCCAGTATGAGTTACTTTATTTTGAAAATATTAGAAACAACAGCAACAATGAAGTGTTGTGGAATCTGGAGGATTATTGTTATAGTGTATAAACAGAAATAGGATGCTTTATACTAGATCTCATTCCTTTTTTACTAGCGATCAGTATGTTGTTCTGTACTACTGGGTCGTCTACATGGATTGATGTTTCCAAAGTTTAATACTTTTTGCCTTGGTGGGGTTTCAACCTTGGAGTATATTATTATATCATTGTCGTATACTTTTTATATTTTATAATTTATAAAATTTATATTTTCCTATGCTATAGTGTTTGAGTTGTGGCTGTATAAATTTCAACTTTCCTCTTATAGTATAATATTGAGGCGAGTTGCTTATAATATGTATTCAATATTTTCATCCATTGCTCATTGCCTAGCAATGGACAATTATAAATCAAGTTTGTGGAGGCAACTGTATTTACGCAAGGCATAGCCAACTATCAAAACCTAGCTTCAGAGGAGTGTAGGGTTCCGGATTTATTGTTTCGGTAATTTGAAAGAGGCTGTAGATAAATTTCAAGTTATACTAATAATAAATTTATTTATTTTTTTTAGATTCTGGCTACTGCATATATCAGGAATGAACCTTGGGAAATGGGAGTGCATAAAAGGAAGGGAGTAGTTTATCTTGATGTTCATAAATTGCCAGAAAGGCCGCAAACTGAAGTTGATCGCCGAAGGTACATTATATATATATATATATATATATATTGGATGTGTATGAAACTTTCTGTGCCATACTTGACCCTAATTTGTTTGGCTGGGCCTGGGTGTATAAATTGAGAAAGGTAGCTAACTACTGACTAAAGGCTTGCCTGTATTGAAGATTTTACTTGATAATGAGAAAATTTGGGTGTATGTATAGTATTTGTTTGATGTTCATCTTTTATTTGGCCTCTTGCTGAAATTTTTTGGGAATATGTTATCTTGGCTGTCATGATCTTCCTTTACTCCTTGGCTTATGGAAAATTAGATCTGAGAGGCAGGAAACAGTGATATTAGACCCCTTGGATTTAGAATTGGTTTATAAGTGAGAAACAAGGCTAAAATTGCACGGTGTATAGAGCTCAGTATATTCTCAAAATTTGGAGCTATTGTTTGAGCTTGTCAAAGTCTTGGATATCTATGCACCAATAGGCTTGTCTGAGGTCATAGTTCTATGATTTTTAGTCTAAAATGTTATGTAGTGCTTACTACATTCAGTTTCTCTTATCGTTTTTGGAAATTTTATTTGTTATATTGTTTTCGTCCCCTTTTTACTTAGATGTTACTGGGGCTACTGCTTTGAGGCTCTTGCAACCGAAGACCCAAGAAGATCAGATGGAGAAGGGATTCATCATGTTGATGCTAATGTTGAATACTGTTCTGTTATTAAAACCAAATTAGGAGCTCATCGAATTCTCATGGGTGCTGAAATGGACTGCTGTGATTCAACTGATGATGGCAGAAGATTCTATATAGAGCTAAAAACAAGTCGCGAGGTTGGCACTCATGGAACTTTTCTTCTCTCCCTCTCTGTTGTCACAACCAGGCTAAATCTATATATCTGTTTTACTTGTGGCTTTACAGTTAAATTATCGTACCGAGGAAAGATATGAGAGGGAGAAACTGCTCAAGTTCTGGGTAATGTTCATTGCTGCATTTTCCTTGGATTTTCTTCCATTTACATGGAAAAAACCTAATGGACTCTTTTTCTAATAGGAATCTGTGTTTCCTTTTTCCAATTTTGTGCCATTACCTGACGTTTTCTAGTATATATCTTCTTTAGTGTGAAGAAACCGCTTGATTGGTACCTATCGATATACTTGTTGGCTTGTTCATAAACTTGGTGTCAGTCATTCAGCAATGGCATATGATATACTGTTTACTGTCGGTCACCTTAGTTAACATTGTTACTTTGCCAAAGGACAGTGGAGATGTAAGTACTGAGGATACTATGACTGATTGATTTCGCTGCGATAAGATTTGTGTCCTGAATTCAATAATGGGAACTAATTCATTTTCAAGTATGAAGTTTCGGCATTTGTTGAATAATCTAGTTCGTCCTGATTTATTTGTGAAATAGCATTTGTCTTGTCTACCGAAAATGTAGTAATCTTGCTCATACACTCATTTTTCCTAATCAGAAGAGGTGATATAACCTAAAATGTTGTCTGCTCAGTTTGTTACTTATGTCAGCAAAGATTCATTATTGTAATCATCGCAATCAGACTTTTAATGAACTTGTGAAGATTTTGTGTTCGTGATTATCCAATTTCTTGACTGCTATTGTCATGGAGAATACTAATTTCACTATAAATCCTCTTTATGACCCTTTTCTTCCAATAAAATCTGTCCTGCTTTGTTTCTTTATATAAAATTCACCATACAATATATTCTAACTAACTTGTTTTCGTGTTTCCGTTTTTCTTTTGTACAACTTCTATTCCTCAGATCCAGTCATTCCTTGCTGGCGTGCCGTATATTGTGATTGGTTTTAGGTATGACACAACTTTTTGTCTAATTCCTAGTCATATTTAATTTCTGATCGATCCTGGATGAATAATATGTTGTCCCGCCCTTTAATTGGTCTTTCCTTAATACAGGGATGACACTGGCCGACTTGTCCGTACAGAACGTCTAAGAACCAAAGATATAACCCAGAGAGTGAAGATGAAAGGTTACTGGCAGGTATCTTTTGTAGTCCCATTCGATGCTCCAGACAATTTGTTTTAGCCTTATCACTTTGAGATTCGCAACCCGAGTTTCTTACATTTTGCAACATCATTTTCCATAATGTGTCAAAATGAGCAAACTATCCTGATTGGATCGTCTTATTCCTTGCAGGGTGGGGTATGCCTAGCTTTCGCAGACGAGGTTTTGTGCTGGCTTTATGGGACGGTCAAAGAGAGTAAGCACCTTCCAGTTATATATATATATATCTATATATATATATATATTTATATCGTTGGTCGGATTATATTCTAAAATGTCGCGTGGTTGTGTGAAAAATGTGTTTGGTTGTAGATGAAGACTACATATTGCAATTTGCGCCACCCTTCGCCCGGCTGGAGCTGCTTCAGGCTCAATCGTGCCCTGATGTGATCACTGACCATGTCGAGCAAGTGTAGCTACTTTGCTCGATTTTCTTTCTCGTCGTCTTCGTGCTACATTGCTCGGCTTTGCTTTTGTCCTCCTGAGTATCGAATGGTTTACTTACATAACTAACTATATACATACTTCAACATATATATATGTTATGTAATTTTTGACATTGTGTAAAGATGTTAATGCCGATGTCGGTGACTTGACATCGAGAATTCTCTTTATCACAAAACATTCGGTGATAAGACTTTAGTAATTATCATATTTTTCCATATTAAATAGTAATGATTAAAAATAGAATAAACTGTTTTTTTTAAATTTTGTACATGACCTCTAGTTGTTTCAGTGCAGTAAGTGGAGCCTGCAAAAATTTGGCCGAAATAGTCTTCTTGCCGATGTTGATTTATGAATTTTTAATTTTTAATTTTGAAATTTTTTATGTAATTTGTAATTTTTTTTTTTTTTTTTTTTTTTTTTTTTTTTTTTTTTTAGTTTCGAGAAAATCCACTTCTAGCTTAGGTGGTGTTGATAGATCAGCCATGTCAGCGCCAAATCAACACCGACGACACAGATGATTATTATACCAGACATATAGAGGCTCCGGATGCTATAATTTACCTTTAAAATATGTGAGAGGAAATTCATTAATGGGATGCTTTTATTTATCTTGACCTGTATAAAATTTTTTGGTATTTATAAATTCATTATTCATACTTATGATATTGAAATTTTGTAATGTAACTTTTGATATATTTTTTTTTATACCAAAAATACAGAAGCATATTATTACCGTACTAAAAAAGTGACACCATAATACTCATAGAGGACCAAGGCCAAAGCATTTTTCATGCTTAATCCAAAAATTTCGACCAATATCCAGTGTGGCTTATATGATGCGAGCCGTGTATATAAAAACTCTAATGATGCAAAAGAGAACGCAGAGGAATATGTCTTCGACGAACTAACTAGCTTCATTACAAACGAGATTGACATAAAATGCTAAAACATCGAAGACTATATCAAGTGGTGTGCGCCCCCAACCTAATGTCAATATTCCCTAATATTAGCTTTTGCCTCCTTAGTCGCTTGTATGATATTTTCCATCATTTGAATTAGTTCCCATCGACATGGCTCAATATTGTCGAGAACCTTAACATTTCCATTGCCCCAATATTATCTTCACATTGATATTTATTCTACTACAATCTTCAATGCATCTTGCATTTATCTCGCTAATGATAAATCGAATAAAAATAATTGGAAATAAAGGGGTGGGGCGCGCCATTTGAATAGTCTTTGATGCTCCGGCATTTTTTCATTAGCCTCATTTATATATAACGAAGCTAATTAGTTCATCGAAGACACATTCCTCTACACTTTCTTGCATCATTAGAATTCTTCGTATATATTGTGGAAGGATATAAATTGTGTTATAATGCAAATTAAAATCGGTATAGGTAAATATTTTCGGATTAAGCATGAAAATTGCTCTCCTTAGCCATTATTGGAGTCTTCAACATTGTTTGGATCGTCAACTACCGTGCTCCTATTATACTTTGGAGCTAACATTATTAAGGATACAATCGAAAGTAAAAAGATATAAAAGAAAATAAAAAAATATAAAAAAGTAAAAAGATATTTCTTCTGTTCACAGACTAATATTTTACCTTCTTATTTTGTATGACCAATAACTATTGTTCTATTTCATTTTCTATATAAAAATTTATTTTTTTACCCTTAAATAATTTATCATTTTTATTTGAACATGTTTTTGACTACCTTACTACAAAGGGTAAAATTGTTAATCTATATATAAAAAAAAATATATACTTACCTAAAAAAATTGTGTAAATATGATTTAGGATAATAGAATTTGGATGGAGGAAATATAAAATTTTTATAGTTAGGAGGAATTGCTACTTCCTAATGACAAAATATAGTAGTGAAGGCGAATAAGAAATTAAATAAATTTATGATTTCACGTTGCAATGTTACAAGACATATTTATAGGAGAAATTTGTATATATATATATATATATTTTATCATAATACTCTTTCCGTCCCAAATAAGGTACAGCATTTGCTTTTGACACGAATTTTTAGGTGGGTAGTATTAAGTAGGATAATTTATAAATTAGGTGATGCGATGTAGAGAGAAATATATATTTTATTTTTTTATTTGAATGATGTGAGGGGATAAAAGGTGGGTTAGAGATTAAGTATAATTAATTATTTTATATTTTGGAAATATTGTATGATGTTTGGAACATACGAAACAGAAAATGTTGCAGGGTGTTTGTCACGGAGAGAGTATATTTTTTAATTTACTATTGAAATAGGTGAAAATCCGTAGTATATCCAAATTCACACTTTATTTGGCAAATAAAATTTAAGATGACTTATTTAGTTACTTTATTTTCATTGTCACATTTTTGTTTCGATTTTTAAAAATTTTAAATAGTAAGCATATGATTAATTTGATTCCTTATTAACCTGAATTTATATGGTACCTCCCATATATGAAATCCATTTCTTCTTTTCTTTTTCAGAATTTGAAATAAAAAATAATTAAATCTTTTATTGCTTGCCATTTCATAATTTTCAAAATGCTATTTATTATTAATTTTTTCCCATTCCCCTCTCATATACATTTAATGATATTCTTTAAAATTATATACAATTAAACATGTAAATTTTGTTGTTTGACATGTAATAAATGCTGTAACAAGTGTGTTCACTTGGATGATTTTTTTTTTTCATAGATATATATATATTTTTTATATTAAGTATGGAAAAATCAGTCTTTAAAATAAATAAATAATTATTATTATATATTTATTAATTTTTTGTGAGTTAATAGAATATATATATATTGTGTGTTCACTTTGTTTTTACTATAATAATTATTATGTAATTGTAAAACTTTTATATTACATATCACATGTAAAAGACCTTTGGGAAGACGAATAAGAATTACTCGATAAAGAAAGTTTTGTATTTAAATGTTGGTGTTTGTCTCAAAATGTAATCATATTAGCTTAATATATTTTTACTAATTTCTTCGTTTCATATTCAATTCCATGCAATTGCATTCTAGTAATTGCTCATTTGTGTGGGCTTGTTCATGTATAAATACATATATTATTCAAAATTATTATTTCTTTTTCTTTTTCTAGAACGTGGAAACCCAAAGTCATTTCGAGTGTGCACTGAATAAATCTTCGGCCAAACACGGTCACAAGTTCACCCCTATCTCCACACCACCATGCCATTTGTTACGGGATAGCTATTATTTCTTCTTTAATATTATAGCAATTGTTTATTTTCATCTATAAAAATAATATAAAGTAAAATGAAATACCCTCTCCGTCCCGCCACAGATGACCTATTTTTTTTTTTTTGTATGATCCCACAAGAGATACTCCTTTCCATTTTTAGTAATTTTATCAATGTTAAACATACTTAACAAATATAAATTAATTTAATTAAACTTAGTAGGAACTATTCAAAACCACTTTATTTCTATCTCTCTCCTCAATTAACATAATTTTTTTTATCTATATTTAAAACTCCTCAATTTTTTATAAAATTAATTTATGGTAATGATAAATAAATAAAAATATTTTATTTATTTATTTATTTGTATTATATAAAATTTTATTATCTATGATATCCATATTGCATATATTTTTTCGAGATATAATCTTAAATTTTTTTAAAATACCAATAATATTATTCATATAAAAAATAATAAATTAATATTATAACTTATTATTAATAAGCTCCCTAAAAAAAACCGTGTCCCTAATAAAATGATTCATCCCTCGCGGGACTGGAGTAATAAATACACCAATCCTCATGGTGATTTCAATAGTCATATTTGTTTTTCTTAATTTCATAATTGTTACTCAATATTTAATTACTGTCATCTTTCTTCAATATCTAGATAGTGAGAATATCTCACAAAGTTGTAATAATAGTAATAACATATCATTTCTTTTTAAAGTGTGATATAATAGTAATAATAATAATAAAGTTATTTATTAATTTACTTATCAGCATTAATGTGTGTAGGTGATAGACCTTTTCACATTTAGACTCAATTTTCAGATTAATTTTTCTATAAAACTCTTGAAATTGGACTCAAATTTGTCATTCATATCAAATTCATCCAACCTTTCAACCAGTAATTATCAAATATTTGTTTCTTTTTCGAAACCTGAAGATGGGAAGATCTCAACAACAAAAAAAAATTCAATCTGGTAAAATAGCATTATTCATTTATTTATTTTTATGAGTAGTTATATATTTGTATCAAATTCACAATAAATTTGTGCACCGTATAGATTTTCCCCGTATCAATTCAATACATATAAACTTTTTTATTTTGTTGCCTTATACACGCGTCGCTGTCTATGAATTTATTATGTTTCCAAAAAGCTAGCTTTCGAATTTAGCCTTTTTTAAAAATAAAAATAAAAATCAAGTCCGAGATTGACACGCGTCTATTTCAAAAAAATTTATAAAATATTTTACCTCATAATAATAATAATTTTTTTTTTTATTCTTCTTATATACTATATTTTTATAGCTTATTTCTACTTTATTGTTAACTTTTTATGCAAAGTTCATGAAATTATTCTTTAATAAGTTTAAGCTTTCGACAGAAAATATCTAACCATATATATGCATTTTGAAATTTGAATCATATTTTATTTTAATTTTTGGATGAATGTGTTTTTTTATATTAGGTATGAGAAATTATATTTATAATATAAAAAATAATATTTTATATTAAATTATTGATTTTTTGTGAATAAAATATATATTATCTATTGTAAATTTTCAAATAATATTTATGAAAATTTGTTCCACCAAAAAACATTAAGTATGTAAACTAATTGTTTGGTAAGAATAATTTTTTCATTTAGTTAAGGTCATAAATACTCCTGAAATTTAATAGGCAGGTAAACAAATGCTTACCTATATTCATTTAATTTCAAATTAATTTATTTATTAATTAATATATAATTAATTCAAGTTTTTCTGTAATATATATATATTTAAATAGGTATATGTATATATATATATATATATATATATGCACATATTTGCTACTAATCATTTTATACATTTTAGAAGTATCTCTCCGCGGAAAGGGTAAAGAAGTAGAGGAAAAAGGAGTGCTTGATAAGTTGCAAATAGTTCAAAAAAAAGTAACTAAACCTATAACCAAAAAAGCCAAAGTTGTCGAGGGAGATTTTTCTACAAAATATATTTTTTCTTTTGAATCCCAAACATCGACAACAAGCTCGCAACCATTGAGTGGAGGCAGCATTCTTTCGACAAATTCAAGAGTAAGTGATTTGACAATTTATTAATTATTACTATTATTTGCTTTCACCTTCTCAATAAGTATAACATAGTTTTTCCCTTGTTTTTTACTTCCAGGATTATTCTGAATTTGTTAAAAATCAATTACAAGATTCAAACCCTATATCTATCGGTGATTCAGTACTTCCTGAATCAAATTTGGAAGATTTTTTGAGGGAATTTGTTTCAGATTCCCCTCTAAGAGAATCCGAAGAAGAGGTCCACTGTGGTTTGCCATTTGAAATCTCCTCTTCATCATATGAGTCACCGATTGATATTTTTCAATCATGTAAGTTGACTGATGAGGAGGAAGAAATGGTGAGGTGGGCCTTGTTATTCGATTGTCCAACTGGGGATGATTGGGGGGATATTGTATACAACGATGGATACTTGTTTTTATACAAGTATGATATCCAAACTCTAAGTTTTGGAAATGACGTATCGAACATGGTAGTGGATATGTTCGGTGCGTACCTCAATCGATCCGAGTATACAATATCTAAGAATGAGAAGAAACCAATGAAGAAATTCTGCATTTCCTCGAATATATGCGTAAGTCCTTTTGTTTTATGTCGATGTTGAATTTATTAGTATAATATATTGTGCTCTTAATTTGAATTTGCTTATTCAATTAATATTTAAATGTTGGTTTAATCATATGTTAACTATTATTACTCTTTTTTTTTAGTTCATGGTTTCTCTTGAGCTTAGAAATAATTCCTGTGAAAAGACGGAGGAAGAGATATTGGATGAGTGGAAAGGTCTTTTCCAGCAATCATATCTCGGTGATGATTGGATTGAATCACTAAAAGCTGAAAATGTAAGTATTTTAATTTTTAGTTCATAATCGTATTGAGTTATTATTTGATATATGCTAAATATATTGCTATAATATGTTAACCATAATATTTTGATATCATATTGGGTAATATATGAAATATGTTAAATATATTGCAAATAATAGGTTAGATATAATATTTTGATATCATATGCTGAAAATATTGCAATAATATGTTAACCAAAATATTTTGATTGCTGAAATAACTTACTCATTATACCCGATTATACTACTTAACTATTTTACTTATAATTTTCCTAATGTTTTATTGCAGTATTTTTTCCCATTCTGCCGCTCAGGACATTGGGTTTTGTTCTCTGTTTCCATTGTGCATCGAAAAATCTATTATTTCAACAGTTTGAAAGCTTCGAATGCATGGAAAAATGACTCCGTAATATTCAATAGGTTGTTTAGATATTTTCGAACTGCTGCAAATATGTTATATCCAGATGCACGTTGGAGTGGAGATTTTCCGTTCGAGTTACCCTACCAAGTTGAACAACCAGATCTCCATAGTTGTGGAATATTTTCCATGTTCTATATGGAGTATTGGCCTTGTGATTTGTCCGGAGTTTTCCAACAAATTGGAAAATTAGAGGTACTGGATTCAAAGAGGAAAAAAATTTGTGCTCAGATTCTTCTTCAACCGGAAAATCAAAACCTTGATATCATAAGAGAGAAGGCCAAGGTTGTTGCTGCTCAACAAACACGAAAAATGGGCGAACTCAGGACGAAATTTAAGTATGATTTCAAAAAGAAATTATAAACTTAAGTGTCTGTGAGAGTAGATTAGGGCAGGGGAAATTAGAAAAATGTATAGTTGTTCGAATTCGATCACATTTTTTTTTTAATGACATATTCTTTCTAATTTAAGGATTACAACTTACTCTAATAGTCTCTATTGCATCTTGTATTTATTTAACTGACAATGAGTCTAATAAACTTATTATTTCATATTGCATCATTAATTTTGTATCATCAAAAATATTGAATTGAAGTGAGTGAGCATGCCATATGATTTGTTCTTCGATATTTTGTCCCGAGACGCATTCTCTTTTGTGTCAATAGAAATCTTCAGACTATATAAATTACATTATGCAAACTATATTAAGATATATTATAAATTAAAAATCTTTGGTATTCCCATATCTACTCTACACATGACAAATATAATTTACTTACTATAATCTATTTTCATACATTCATATTAATTTGTTACTTTTTTTTTTTTTCATTTCACATTTTTTAAATAGTAAGCTAATTTATTGTTCAATTAATTCTTTACTAACTATTGAAATAAAATGCTAAATAGAGTATAGAAAAGGTATATTCTTTATAGAATATGCCACAATAAATTAATTATATTTATTTTATTACTTGTAGTTTTCAAATTTGAAAATAATATTTAAATTTTTTTCCATCTTTATCCTTTTTAACGTATAAATATTTATTAATATTTTAAAAGTATAAATAATATAAATAATATAAAAATATTATTTGATATGTGAAATTATATTTGGTACAAAGAAATGAGAATAAAAATAATATTTTTATTTTTATTTTTGTTTGTTTAAGTACGGGGATTGAAATTTGACAAATGAATAATTTTTCAATTCCTATTTTTATTTCTCTCACATTGGTAAAGGAATGAAGGGAAATAAAAAAAAAAACGGCTGTAGTATGCGTTTATTTTTTTTATTTTTTAACTTTCATAATTTTGTTTTAAAATATATTATCTCAATATCATATAAATACATTTAAATTATTATTCAATAAAAAATAACTAATTAAATAAAATAATATTTTTTAATAATTCTCCAAACCCACTCTTATCTAATTCATCGTTTTCTCTGATAATAGATTTATTTTTCCTTTTTTACTTGCAGTACACGGTCTCTCTAAATCAATCCATTCTTATTTTGTAATTTTATTTTATTTTTATATTTTTCGATTGATTTTTATTTTTATTTTTCTCTCAAACTCTATTTTTTATATCACTTATTTGTATTTTTATTCTCTCTGCACCCTAAATGTCTATTTAATAAAATAATAATGATAATCCTTTAATATTATATTCTAAATAAACTATGGCTTTAATATTAATTTTAATGCTAATTTGGAGTGATTATTAATTATATATTTTCACTTACTATATACTCATTTTCCAGGTCAAAGATGACCGTTTGGTTAAAGTCTTAATAAATTATTAATAATAAATTATGATATTATTTTTATTATTTTTTATATAAGTAGTATTTTTGATATTTTAAATTTCTTTAGTATTATAACTCAATAAAATATATACCATATCTATATCATTTTTTAGAGAATAAAATTTTATATTAATACAAATAAATAAAAAATTTATTTATTTATTTATAATTAGATTAAAATTAATTTTATAAAACATAAGGAGTTTTAAATATTGATAAAAATATTTGTTTAACGAGGAAATATATAGAAATAAAAGGAATTTGAGTGTGTCCTATGGGTAAGATATTGAAAATTTAATTAAATTGATTTATATTTGTTAAATATATTCAAGAGGAATAAGTTTTCTAAAAATAGAAAATGGTCATCTTTAAGGGGACCGAAGAAGAAAATAAAAAGTTTCATCTATCCCAAGACGGAGGGAGTACATGATAACATTATGGCTCCTTTTAGGGTTCTGATGTTATAAAACCATCAACACCATACTTATTTTTCTATAGCCGTAGGATCGAATTTAATGATTGATCCAATGGATATCAATCAACGAGATTAATCCTATGAAATCCAATTTCACCAAATGTTGGTCTGCGCCTTCTTCACAATGGAAGACCATGTATGTTTGGTTTTGCATCCAAGCATTGTGTCCTATTTTGGAATGAACGCTGGTATTGTTCTTGGAACATTCAAAAGACATTTCGAGTGTAGGACCGCACAACATATTTCATAAGTGGATTGTAAGGGTAAGTTGCATGCATTGTCTATCTTTCGCCATATCCCTTAAATTCCAATACTCATTCGAAATGGCTAAAGAATTCAACACCATTATCATCGGACCGTAGGAACCTAGGGTAATTAAAAGAGAACACATAAATGAGTGTCTAATTTCATTTATTATTAATTAGACTTACGCAAAATACCGGAGTATTGCATATTACATCATGTCGCATGGCCTTTTGCCTCACATAATTAGTTTCATTCATAAACTAGAAATTTATTTTTATTGAATTTATCTTTTAGTCGTAAGATTTAAATATGAGGCCCAAAAATAATCCGAAGACCAATACTCAATAATAGGCCTAATTTATGTGGCCTAACTCATCCAAACCCGATCTAATGCAAATCTGAGTTATGACCATCCGATCAAGGGATTTAATCTTGTCCGTTGGTTCTAATCCAACCCTAAGTATATATATATATATGTGTGTGTGTAAGTGTGTAGGCGCAGCCGTTCCAATTGATCTCTCACTCCCCTTTCTTCTTCTCTCTCGTTGGTATTTTCCTCCATTGTTCTATTTCTCCCTCAATTTTCCTCTATGTTGTGTATGTTGATTGGTTCTTGGCCTTTTATCTTGTGAGGCTTTAGAACCTCTGGTCGATTATGTGGCGAAAATTAGAAAATAAAAAAAACACATAAAAACATAAGAATTTGATGATCCAGTTCGATCATAATGATTTACGTCTGGGGGCGATCAAATCAGGTATTTATACTAGTAATTTCAGGTGTTAAATACATAAAGAATGTGTATTGTCCACTATAAATTGAGTAAAATTGGATTTACTTCAAAAGTTGTATATCGATGTTTGTGAGGGAATAGGAGGCGGTGAGTTGTTTGGTCGCATCTTTTTGGCTTATGTTTGAGTTTGATTGTTTGTATTTGGGTTATTCAGGGGTTTGTAGAGATTCAAAATCAAAGTTTGAAGATCTGTTGAGAGAAATTGCTTCGGCTTCCCCCGTAAAAGCAACTGAAAAAGAGAATATTGTTCGAAGAAAAGTAATTGAACTCATATCTAAAAAAGCTAAAGTTGTCCAAGAAGAGTTTTCAACAAAATATCCTTTTTCCTTTGGATCCAAAAAATGGAAAGCAAGCTCGCAATCATTCAATCCAAGCGGCATTTCTTCCACAAATCCAAGAGTAATGATTGTCCAATTTTTTTTAATTATTATTATTATTATTATTGCTTTCACCCTTTTAATCCATATATATAACATTGTTCTTTATTCCCAGAAATATTGTGAATTTGTTGAAAAACAATCACAAGATCCAAACCCAACATCCACTAGTGATTCAGTTCCTGAATCAAATTTGAAAGATTTGTCGAGGAAAATTGTTTCAGATTCCCCTCTAAGAGAATCCGAAGATGTCCACCATGGTTTTGGTTTGCCATCTGAAATCTCCTCTTCATCATATGAGTCACCGATTGATATTTTTCAATCATGTAAGTTGACTGATGAGGAGGAAGAAATGGTGAGGTGGGCCTTGTTATTCGATTGTCCAACAGGGGATGATTGGGGGGATATTGTATACAACGATGGATACTTGTTTCTATACAAGTATGATATCCAAACTCTAAGTTTTGGAAAGGACGTATCGAACATGGAAGTGGATATGTTCGGTGCGTATCTCAATCGATCCGAGTATACAATATCTAAGAATGAGAAGAAACCAATGAAGAAATTCTGCATTTCCTCGAATATATGTGTAAGTTCTTTTGTTTTATGTCGATGTTGAATTTATTAGTATAATATATTGTGCTCTTAATTTGAATTTGCTTATTCAATTAATGTTTAAATGTTGGTTTAATCATATGTTAACTATTATTACTCTTTTTTTTTTTTAGTTCATGGTTTCTCTTGAGCTTAAAAATAATTCCCGTGAAAAGACGGAGGAAGAGATATTGGATGAGTGAAAAGGTCTTTTCCAGCAATCATATCTCGGTGATGATTGGATTGAATCACTAAAAGCTGAAAATGTAAGTATTTTAATTTTTAGTTCATAATCGTATTAAGTTATTATTTGATATATGCTAAATATATTGCTATAATATGTTAACCATGATATTTTGATATCATGTTGGACATTATTTGAAATATGTCTAATATATTGCAATAATAAGTTAAAAATAATATTTTGATATCATGATTATTATTTGAAATATGCTGAATATATAGCAATAATTTGTTGAATATATACTCTAGGTTCCCAGGGTGCACGTGGATGAGGACAAAGCGTGTTGAATTATGGGGTCAATCGGTCTCCGTGGCTTGCGGGTTAGGGTATTAGAGTTGATATCATAGCCAATCTGCAACAACCCATGGTGGATTGAATAGACTTATTGAAGTTAACAATGTGCACATTCTTTTTCACAAGTTAGAACAAAGCGTGCTGAAAGGACTCGTGTTGACATTTGAAGCTCCCGACACACTTGGTCTGTGTGGCTTATGGGTCGGGTTGTTATAATATTCAAATATTTTGATGATTTTTGTTTAGAAATACAAATAATAGACATATTTTGCAAGGGAAAAATATGTAAATTCTTAGTCTTTTGGATCATACCAAATAATATATATAATGATAATATATGAAAAAACATGTAAATTCTTCCTTCTTTGGTTGTAGTTTTGAAATAAAATTTTATTTAAGTTTTTATTTAAATAGTATTTTGATATAATATTTTGTTATAAAAAATAGTATAATTTTTAATGAAACCGTATGTAGTAAATATTATTGATTTCAATTTGAAATTCCAACAAAATACAATCATTTAGCCTTGCATTATTCATGTGATCTTTTTTTTTTTTTAAGGATGTACTTGTTTGGAGTTTGAATTTTGAGTTTTGATTTTAAATAATAAAATTTAAAATTTAAATAATTATTCTATATAATATAAATAGAGTTTGATATAATATTTTGAATATAAATTAATTTATAATATAATATAAAAAAATAAATATTTAATATAATATTTTTTTAAAAAAATTGATAGAATAGCACAAATCCTCTAAAAGTCCCCGACAAACACACCATTTCCTCAAATTATTTCTAGTTCATATATTTTTTACAAAAATTAATTATTATTATTATTATTACTTTACACAAACACCATATGCAATCTATTATATAAATACTCACACTTTTTCATTTTTGGTAAATTTTATTAAATCAAAAAATATAATTAAAAATATAAATCAAGTCAATTAACTATATAACATATACTATCATATATCACTAGCATCTACTCAAAACTCTTTTATTTTTATTTCTTTAAAAAAAAAAACAAATATTTTCATAAAAGTATTTTTTTATTTACTTGTATGATATGAAAGTTTATTTTCTACGAAATGATATCCACATTGTATATAAATATTTTTTATTGCGATATAATTTCTAAAATATTTGAATACATATTATAAATATTTTTAATCATATATATTAAATGTATTTTAAAACTATCATTACTATTAATCATATAAAAAATAATAAAATAATATTATAACGGACTATTATTAACTAATTAAATATTATTATCTTAAATATCGTATCACTGATGAAAATGGTCAATTGACCTGAATAGAGAGAGTACTATTTAATGTGATGTAATATTTAAATAATTATGCAATCTATTTGAAATTCTCTAAATCTCCAACAAAAACATTATATGCAATCTATATTATATGAATAGTATTCTTAATAATTTTTTTTATTATTTAAATAGGATTTTGACTTAATATTTTTTTTAAAAATAATATATTTCTACTGAAAAATAATATTAATTTGAATTTAAAATAATAAAAAAAAATACAAAGAGGTAAAAGAGGACTGCAAATGCCATTAGCAAGCTAAAATAAAATTTTAAAAAATAAATTAAAATAATTGTTTGATGTGATATTTTTGAATATAAAATTAAATTTTAATATAATATAATAAACGACAAAAAAAAAGTATTTGATTTAATATATTTTTTTTAAGGAAAAGAATTGGAATATTAAAACTAAATGTAAAATATTAGGGGTAAACACACTCTTAGTCTGTTGGATCATACCAAGTAATATATAATGATAATATATGACATAAATCATATATCTTGATGATTGTTAAATAGAAATACCTAAAATAGACACATTTCTAAAAGAAAAACTTGCTAAACATTTGAGTTATAAATAATTATACGAAACACAAAATTTAATTACTCGTAATTTTTGTTCAACTGCTCATATGCTTTTCAATTTAATTTTGTACTTTTATGTTCAACAACAACAACAACAATAATAATAGGTTTAACCAAATTATAAATAAATTATTTATTAATTTTTTAAAAAAATCTATATTAGATTGTGATATTCTTGTGCATTGAGGTGTAGATCACCAAAAAAGGGAGAAAAATTACTAAATCAAATAACAATGAAAAATATAATATAACTATAGAAGTATTTAAAAAATTATCTTAAATTCTTTCTATATATATAGGTGTAGTAACATTGGAACAAGACCTGTTCTCATTCGATTTCTTGTTCACGATGTCCATAATATGTTCATGACCATTAGGAAAAGCGATACATCATTAGGCAGTCTAAGCAATGCCGAGGTTGCTGACAAGGACAAATCAAAAAGTTTGCACGCTTGATCACAAAAACATCTAGTTTTACCCAAAGTGGTTCGCCCGATGCCATTGATATCGTCCGGCTAGACACCAAGAATTCCAATGAAGAAAAAGAGAACACACAAGAGTGTGCCTTCGACAAACTAATTGCATTTATTAATAACGAGTGTGCGAAATACGGAAGTATTGTATATGCATGACATCATGTCGCATGGCCTTTCGTCTTACATAATGATTTTTATTTTTTAAAAAAATTTGCTTGGCTTATGACTTAAATGCGAGTCCCAAAAAAAAAAAAAAAACACCCAAAATTCAATACTCAATACTAAGGCCTAATTTATGTGGCTTAAGTCACCTAGGCGATTTGATGCAATGTAAATTTAAGACCATCTGATCAAGGGATTTAATCTTGGTCGTTTGTTATGATCTAACCCTAATTATATGTGTGTTTGTGTGTACGCCGTCACGCAAGGAATTCACTCAAATTTTTGAGAAGGTTCTAAGTCGAGAATATTTTTAGAATCTTTCCCAAACCTTTCAGAACACAGTGGAACCTTGTAGAACCCTCTAGATCCTTGTAGATGCTTGTTTTAGAAAGTTGTACATTTTAGAATAGTGTAGAGGAGTCCTTGATGTATAAAAAAAACCTTCACCCTTCACTTGTAAATCACCAAATTCTCATTTGCAATTGATGATTTCAAAGTTCTTTCCACTTTTTCTCTCTAAAGCTTTCTCTCTTTAGAAAATCTTAGCTTTTGGCCTTGGCCTTTTATCTTGTGAGGCTTGAGAACCTCCGGTTTATTATCGGAGGCGTGTGAGCTATTTTGTGTTTCTCTTCATAGTTGGTTGTATTTTCTCTTTTTTAAGTGATCTTGTGAGTGGTGTGTGTATTGTCCACCGTAAATCTAATAAAATTATATTTTACTTTAAAAAAAGTTGTATATCAATGAGTCAATAGTGATGGTACAAGACTGCCTCAATGAATCTCCCGGGTTTATATTCGGGATCTCAAACATTGAGAGCAAGCTCGCAACCATTTAATCGGGCAAGCATTACTTTGCAGATTCGAGTAAGATTTGAAAATTTATTGATTATTTTGATTATTTGCTTTCACCTTTTTTAATTTAAGTTGACAGATGTATATTTTAAAAAAATTCATAAAATGTTTTAGAATATATATAACTATTATTTTACCTCATAATCATCATTTTTTTTTTTTTTCGTCTGTTTTGTTTATTATTGTTCTTATATACTATATTTTTATAGCCTTATTATACTTTATTGTTAAATTTTGATGCAAACTTTATGGAAGAATTCTATAACAAGGTTAAGACTTCGACATAAAATATTTTATCATAGATATGTATTTTAAATCAATTTTTATTTTTATTTTTCATGAAATATATTGTTTAATAGGAAAATAATTCTTTCATTTAGTTGAGGTCATAAATCCTCATGAAATTTAATAGGCAGGTAAACATATACTTACCTATATTCATTTAATTTCAAACTGATTTATTTATTAAATAATATATAATTAATTAAAGTTTTCTATAATATATATTTTAAAATATATATGCATATTTCTTACCCTTCAAAGTACTAGTTAAAACTTATCGATTTTATACTTTTTAGAGAATATATATTTTTATTTTTATTATTTTTATCTTCACAATGTTCAATTTTTTCTAGAATGTGAATCGAACTTCAAGTCCAGCAATGATAAGTGCGAGCAGGACTCTCTCCGCGGAAATGATATAGAAATAGAGGAAGAAGAAGTGCTTGATGACTTGCAAATAGTTCAAAAAGAAGTAACTAAACCCATATCTAAAAAAGCCAAAGTTGTTAAGGGAGAGTTTTCTACAAAAATATCTTTTTTCTTTTGGATCCCAAACATCGAAGGCAAGCTCGCAACCATTGAATCCACACAACATTTCTTCGACAAATTTAAGAGTAAGTGATTTGGTAATTTATTAATTATTACTATTATTTGCTTTCACCTTTTCAATCTGTATAATATTGTTTTTCCCTTGTTTTTTATATCCAGGAATATTCCGAATTTGTTGAAAAACAATCACATGATTCAAACCCGACATCCATTAGTGATTCAGTACCTAGATCAAATTTTGAAGATTTGTTGAGGGATTGTTTCAGATTCCCCTGTAAGAAGAAACCGAAGAAGAGGTCCACCATGATTGTGTGCCATCAGAACTCTCCTCTTCACCATACGACTCATAGATTGATATTTTTCAATCATTTAAGTTATTGGATGAACATAAAAAAAATAGTGAGGTGGGCATTTTTATTTGATTGTCCAAATGGAGATGATTGGGGGATATTGTATACGACGAGGGATGTGTTTCTTTTGATTTGATTTGAACATTTTTAGTTTGAATTAGGTAATATTTTGTGAGAGGAAACGCAGAGTCCAGATAGTAAAGTTTGAAAGTTTTGGTACAAAAGAAACACGTAAGTTTTGGAAACCACGTATCAAACATGGTGGTGGATATGTTTGGTGCACATCTCAATCGATCCACATATGCAATGGCTAAGAATGTGAAGAAACCAATGAAGAAATTTTGCATTTCGTATATAAAAAGGCTTTATATTTCATGCAATATGGTGAATTCATTAGTATAATACATATATATTGTGCAATTTGATTTTGCTGATTCAATTGATGTGAAATGGTGAGTTATTCATATGTTACTGTCTTATGGTTTAAGCCCATACAGATATAAATATATTGCAGTTATATTCGTTCTTCTTACATCCTATTTAGAATGGATACAAAGCCCACACTCATTAGGACCAAAAAATATATATATTGGTAAATCTTAAATACATTATTTCAATTAATAATAAGATGGATTATATATTAAGCAAAGTTAGTGAACGTGTGCAAATATATTTATCAATAATTTTTTTATAAAAAATTATGTAATATTGGCTTAGGAAAAAAAAACAAATTGATGTATGTAACCTAACTTATTATTTTGATTATTTATGTATTTTCTTTTTAAAAACGATCCTATTATAGTAATTTGGGTAATTCATTACTTACCATTAAATTTAAAATGGGATTTATTTCCTATAACTATTGCTCTGATATATTTAAAATCATTGAATCATTATCAAACTCTTCAATTATCAAATTAAGAAATTTACAATCAATTTGCTTACCAATTAATAATGGGTTCTGGTATGCAAACTAAGTCCGACAAGACAAGTCGCACTAGACGAGCTATGTGTGATATATAAGACCTAGAGGAGTCGTAGTTTGAACCTATGACCTCACGGTCATGAATTCATCCCCACATTACTAGCTTTCCCTGACGGATATCTCATTACTATATATTGATTTAGTGAAGGGAGGGAGAAGATATATTAATTTTAGTACTAATTTTGAATAATTAACAAATCAATATTTTAACTTACTTAATATACATGATATGCCTATAATTACAAGAAATAAATAAATTTGCATAAATATTAATGATATGTGATTAAATTATTTATAATAAACTAAAATTTAAATAAAATAGTTATATGTAATAAAAATTTTATTAGATGTAATTTTAGTTGAATTGCTCACATGCTTACTACTTTAAAACTTTTATGTTCTACGAAGCAATAAAAGAAAAGGAAAAAATGACCAAATTATAAATATAATTATTTATTATTATTATTTTCTAAATCTATTCGATTTTGATATCCGGATGCATTGGACGAAGATCACCAGAAAAGGAAAAGAAATTACAAATCAAATAATGGCAATGAAAAAATATATAGTAACCATATAAGTATTTGAAATTTTATCGTAAAAATTTTTCTATATAAATATGCGTAGTAACATAGGAACAAATCACATTCTCAATCGATTTCTCATTCACCATCACCATATTGCTATAACATAGTAGCCGGTACAAAAAATCGCTGAAGTCACTTGCAAGGGCCAAAGAAAAAATTTTCATGGTTAGTCGCAAAATATCTACTCGTATCCAATATGCACAATGTCATCTATATCCTCTCGCCACACTGTAAGAATTCCAATGAAGCAACAGAGGATGCACAAGAGGGTGTCTTCGACAAACTAATTACATTTATTATTAATGAGGCTCGGGCGAAATACCAAAGTATTGAAGATTGTATCATGTGGCGCGGCCTTTTGCCTCACACATTCAGTTGTGATGATACAAAAGAGATGATGCAAGAATACGTCGATGAATTTATTGGAGTCATCACAAGCAAGGTAAATGTAAGATGCGATATATAGAGATTATAAAATATATTAATTATTTTATGATTGTATTGAATTCCTTATCTTTGTTTATTTGTAGACTTCAATCTACTTATTTCTTGTGTCTTTTTTTTTTTTTTTTTTCTTACACATATTCAGGGATTATCGAAGAAACTACTGTAGATAATATTGGAGTCGACGAGCAACAACAAGCACCGGTCGTACATGTGTGGGGCGGACCTATGCCAAATAGTCTATATGATGCGGCGTGTCCTCCCATATCACGCCCTTATTTCAAATAAGTAAATAGTTGCGATACAAGACCGCCTCAATGAATTTGTTCGAGTCATAACTAGCGAAGCTAATAGAAGATGCGGCGGGGATTATAGATGAATGATTAATACAAAGGACATCATTAGAGCAATGGAATTTAGGTTGGTGTTTGTGGAATTTGAATTTTGAATTGAAATAGTTGTTAAATGTTATATAAATATGTACTGATGTAATATTTTGAATATAAAATTAAATTTAATACAATATATTAAATATTAATAAATATTTGATTTGATATTTTAAAAAAATAAAAACCCTACAACGAAACACATATGTGTGTTTTGACTACCACATTGCCCCCCTAGCAATGAATCATTCCTATAAACAAAATAGGCGCAACTCTGCAGACCAGTTTGCAAACTATTATATTCGGCTGAAAGTTTACCCGGTTGTAGATTTTCACGTTATAAAAATAATAAATAAATAAATGATAGACGCGACTCTGATCTCGCACCATATGTTAGCCATCCGTCTAATGTCGCTCAACAAGAGAACACCTTGGCACAACAATTTCTTACGGCTGGTAATTTTATCACCAATTTCATATGTTTAGATCTTTGTTGTTAAAAAAGGAAAATAAATATATAATTTATAAATAAACCTATAATTTTATAACAGATAGATACTAGTACGAGTTTCAAATTTTAGATATTTAGTTTATTAAAATTTTAATTGTGTTATGATAATTTTGTAATATCTTTTTAAATTAAAATATATATAATATTTTAAAAATACTATATATGTATTAAATATATTATTAAAAAAAGAAAGAAAAAAACTAAACAGAACAAATTCTATCTTACATTAAAATATTTAAAATAGAAAATAGTAATAATAAAAATTAAAAATTAGTAGTATTAATTTAAAAACAGTGTAGTAGCCTTAAAAAGTCTTAGAAAGTAATGTTGGTGTCGGGCAAATAAAACACAGACTTTCGGCGCCTTTGTCAGTCAGATTCGAACCTGTCCTACTGATCTCGGAGAAATCAAAAGAAAGCAAACAACAACTAATAAATTAATTAATTCAGAGAAAGTCATGCTTCGCCACCTTGTGTTCATATTTACGCGTTTCTCAATTCCCTTTACAATTTTTTTTTTTTTTAAAAAAAAATAATATACTAATATATAACTGAAACTGATCGATGTGTGATGGTGACTTGGAAGTTTTCATGGTGTAACAACATTTTTGGTTCCCAGGCGTGTTTAATTTTGTGAATTCACATACAAGCTGGTTAAAGTGATAAAAATAAAATACTTAGCTACATGAAACTCGAATAAGTATAAACTACTACTAATAATAAGGGTTAACAAGGGTAAATTGACTTTTTTTTTTTTTTTGTTTTTTTTTTTTCATGTAATTGAACTTTTTTATTATTTTAGTCTCATAACTGAGTCTGTGCGAACTAGTTTTGTAAGTGAAAATTTTTTGCAATTTTAGTCAATCGGTGCCGGACATGCCTACGTGTACCATGTAGCTTGCCGGAGTAAACGTGTCTGTCAGGTCAGCGACATCTGATGAACACGTAGAATTTTAATTTTTTTTTAAAAAAAAAATTAATTTCCAATTGTTTGAAAAAAAGATAAAATAATAAATTAAAATTTAAAAAAATCCACTTGTCAACCTGGCTGGCGAACACATCCTCCAATGAGCCACGTGTAGGTATCTCCAATGCTGAAAGACTAAAAGTGCGAAACTTTTTTAGTTTTACAGAACTAGTTTGAGACATGTTATTCCAATTAGTAGAATAAAATGATAAAATGGTCCATTTACGAGATTAAAAAAATAAGTCTACACTAATAATAATAATAATAATAATAATATCGAAAGGAATAACAGTATCACAAAAACCCTAATCAACGAAAGGAACCTAATTCGTTGCAGAAGTTAACAGATTAAATTAAATTAAATCCAAATTTTAATTAATGATGCTACTAAGTGTAGGTATTTCCCTGCTTATACTTTCTGAAGAGCTCATCCGTTTTGGCAGACCTGAAAGCGCAGCATCCCAGAACATACACACAGATGAGCCCCACCAGGGAGAGGAGGAGGATGATGTCGGCGCTCCGCCACTCGTGGCGGATGGCGGCGAGCAGGCCGGCCTTGCAGGAGTCGCACGAGTAGCAGAGCTGCGTCTGGTCGTTGCTCCACTGGAGGCAGTCCATGTCGGCAGCGTTGTTGATGGGGCTGATCCAATAGGTCGGGTTAATGAACGTGTATCCGCACTCCGTCGGAGGTTTGCAGCACCCCGACTGCAGCAACAAAGTTAATCATTTTAGACATCGGGGGTTTGAACCTATGACCTCATGGTTACATGTTCAACTATACACCACCAAGTCCCTTACAGAATAATATAAATAATTTTTTTAACATATGGAATATAAAGTATTAACGGTTTGTTTATATATATATATATATTAATTATCAATATTCATTTTTAAAAAATTGAATAAAATATTTTTTTTATTTTTTAAAATAATATAAATGCACACATTTTTATTATTTTCAAAAAAAATTGAAAAGTCCAAAACTTTTTCTCTAAAGATAATTTCAAACAAAAACACACACATTAAAAGAACACATAAATTCATCCTCAAACTCATTAATAATATTTTATGAAGGATTTTTTTATTATTTTAAAAAAGGGCTTCATTACTCTTACTTTATTAAAGTCGAATGATTTCTTATGGCGACATTTCTGCGTAAATTAAGCAAGATTGAAGAATTTTTATTTTATTCTATATTTTTATTTTTATTTTTATTTTAATGATGAAAGAAAATATGTGTGGAGTCCAGTCCAGTCCACGTGGTTCCAAGAATCTTTTTCATTCTATGCTTCTGTAAATTTGCCATTTATACTTAAAAGACGTTTTAGCTTTGCACTGAGACACTCTAAGAATCATCTAATCAAGAAGCAATCCTAAATAAAATGTTTGTTTGTTTGGTAAATTACGTTTTGTTTGCTTACATATATTTTTATTTTATTTTATTTTCTTACATACTCGGTTTTTGTTTTTAAACTTTGAAAGTTAGCTTTTTTATAAATTACAAAATAAAAAGAATATATTCCCCATATACACCATCAAAATTGCAATTTTCCCTTATACATGTGCGTAAACTAACCATACATATGGAAGCTAATTTGTAAACTAAAATGATGAAAATAATAATAATAATAATAATAATAATTAGAGATACAATGAGTTATGAGGGTGTTACTTTATTTTTTATTTTTTATTTTTTTTAATTTCTCATTCTAATTTTTATTCAAATAATATATTTGATGTAAAAGAAAGAAAGAAGTGATATTTTTTATTGAAAATTGCAAGACTATATTTCATAATTTAAAAAATTCAAAAAAAGAAAAAGAAAAAGAACATCTTCTTTACTTGAGTTTTAATTTAACTAGGGGTTTGAATACAATATTATTTGATAAGAAAAAATACTTATATTTTTGTAAAATAAAAAAAAGGAGGTTAAATTTTAATAATATATATTTCAAATCAATTAAACTGACACTTGTCATTATATTGTATAAATAAAATTGTGTATAATTCACAGTCTAAAAAGTCTAAGTAATTTTTTATAAATTTTAAAAATGTACAAGGTTAATGTTGCAAATAATTATTTTTTAAAAAAAAAATTGTTCAATATTTTTGAAAATTGAGGAAGCTTTCTACAGTTTTCAGAAAATTTTGCACAATATTTTAAAAAATATGAGAAAACTTCCTATAATTTCAAAATAATAATCTATAATGCAAAATTTTCAAAACACAATCGTTATTATTCATTTTTCCAATTATATAGTATATGCAAAAAAAATTAAATATTAATATTAATTGAAGTGAAGTGAAAACCCTAATTAATTAGTACCTGGAGAGGGGTTATACGAGCATTGAAGAAATCCTGAGCCATTCGATAGCTCTGGTTGAGCTGCGCGCACATGGTGGACGAGCTCAGGCAGCTCCTTATCCGATCCCACTTGAAGGGGCTCCTCACGCGCCGCCGCAGAAACCCGGAGAAGTCATCGAGGCCGTACTCCAAGTAGGCGCGGCTGGGGACGGCGTGGCCGGAGGAGCCTCTGGCGGTGACCATGTAGATGAAGACGACGAGGGCTGCGAGGAGGACGATGAGGACCAGCATTCCGATGAGGTAGGAGATGAGGAGCCACGGGATCCGCCAGATGCCGCCGATGAAGCCGGCCAGAGCCACCAGGAGGATCGCCACCCCCAGAATGATCACCGGCCATTGCAGGATCTTGACGCAGGCGTTCTCCGCCTCCGTCGCCAGCCAGATTCCGGCGCCGATCACCGGAATCGAAAGGAGCATCGCCACGAAGTTTAGGGCTCCCAGGACAGTGTTGTTCAGAGCCATTAATTAAAATAATTCTTGTAGCTTGATAACTTGATACATATATATATATATATATATTGATTGTTAAATTAATTAAAAGGGAGTTTTTGGAGGATATATATATATATATGTGACGAGATAAAGTTTGAGTGTGTGTCTATGTATCTATATGTAGCTCTGTTGTCGTACTATTTTTCAATTGTGATTTTAGAAAAAAAAATATATATTAATAATAAATATAAAATATTTTATACAAAAGTTAAAAAAAAAAATCATTATAAAATTATAAAAAGTCAAATATTTTTAAGGAGTCTTTTTTTACACAATTTCCTATACTACACTTCAAAAATTATTTTATTAAAAAAAAGAAAAACCAGAGCCATCATACATTCATGGATATGAATCAATATGTTGATCCGGTCAAATCAGAGTATAATACAATATATGTTAAAATATGTATAAATATCATATATCAAATCAACACAAGATCCACAACCTACATTTATACTATTATATTCAACTTTGTGTAGATTTTTTAAAAAAAATTCTATTATTAGATATAGAAAATTATAATTATATGAAAGTATCTTTAATTATCATTTTACGGGTAAATAATTAATACCAAAATCACCTTAATCTACAAAGATTTAGTGGAAAAAAGAGGTTAGTTAATATAGGCCTAAAAAAAAAAAAAAAAAAAAAAAAATCTAGCCCATTCTAAATATAGGCCTAAAAAATAAGTCTAGCCCATTTTAAATATTATTGTTACACTAAAAGAGTCCATACTTTGGCCCAATGCCTTTTTACTACTTTGGGCCTTCAATATAATACATTGTATTATTGGGTTGAATATGTGATGAATTTACTTTAAAACTATATTATTAGATGATGTATTTTAAATATATAACATATTTAGTCAAGAACATTATTGTATGATCATTTTAAAAATAAAATAAAAATAAATTTAGATGAAAAGTGTCATATTTATTAAAAATTATTTCTAGTTATATTAATTATTTATTTTAATTTGAATTGTTAATAACATTAAAAGAAAACCCTAAAGTTAATTAATTTAATAATAGAGTAGTTTGATAGCTAAATTTAGGGGCCATTTAAAGGGCTTAGAGTTGTATCGAAATGATGATGAAGAGGGAGAAAGACATTCGATTTGGGTGAAAGTGTTTCATTGAGAAATATCAATATCAATCAATATATATATATATATATATATATCATTGGTGTCCTAACACAATCACTGAACCAGCAGTCATCTTGAGTTGTGTGCACTTGTAAGAAGTATTTTATTTTAAAAAAAAATCGGAAAAACTATAGAGCTAAATATTTACTTATCTAAATAAAATGTATTGAGTTAGAAATTTTAATAAGAAAATTATGGATCATTATTTCACCCATCACCTTGTCAATTGGTGGATCTACACGAATTTATTATTATGTATTTTTTAATGAGTACATATATTATATAAATAATCAAAAAATATGTAAAAGAAAATGCTAAAATTAGGTTCTCTATATATAATTTTTAATAAAAATATATTCTCCGTTTGTTTTGAAAATATACAATTACTTTTGACGTAAAATTTAAAAAACAATAATATTTTAATTGTAATTAGTAGTTAAAAATAATATAAATAATATACATGACTCGACTCCTTCAATAATGAATATACATAAAACTTTGCAAAATCTTCTTGATTGCTCGATAAATGAGAATGCATAAAATAAAAATAAAATAAAAAATTGTTTATTACTAGAGAGAATGATGTTCATCAAGTTTTCATGAATCAATTGAAACTCCAATCTATTTTAATTTGGGGATAACATCAACTCTACAACAACCCTCAATTTTTTTTCATCCACTTGACTTGTCAGAAATGTCAAAATCTTATCGTTGTCAGTTGACAATGTACATATATCAATTTTATTTTCTCATCAAGAAGTCAAATGCAAATCCGAACATTTTTAATCAACTTGTTATCCTTGAAATAATTTTACATCTAAAATTTATCCCAAAAAATTTTTTAAAAAAAATGTAAGTATGCTATCCATAATCAAGAACATCAAACTTCATTAGTGACACGATGAAAAAAAAAAAAAAATTGTAAATTCAGTCCTGTACTTATGGTCAATTATACTTTCAATTTATTTATTTTGTGATATTTTATTTTATTTTTCTCTGGAGAGTTGTGAATTCAGATATCAGAAGACAAAAATAACAATTTTCAGTACAGCACTATTGTGTGGATCAGGTTGCGTGTCTAAACCTCAATCTATTGAGTTTCGCATCGACCCAAATATACAATAAATTAAACATATGCAAAAATATTATACTAATACAACTAAAATTGTAAACTTTTCATGTTTATAACATGGCTAAATTACACAAAATTCACATGTTGTTTAATGAAATTGCGCCAAATCCCTCATATTTTTAAAATTGCGTCAAATTCTTTTATAGTTTCATAAATTCTGCGTCTAACCCTCGGCGGTCCTTATTTAACAGTATTTGACCTAAATGCGTCTAAACTGTGAATAAATTTTAGAATTTTAAGTTTTAAACCTCTAAAATTACAAATATATATATTTTTTCTTATATTTATCTTTAAAAAAATAAAAATAAACTCTTAAAATCTGATAAAAATAACTGTTTTTTAGTATAGTTATTATTTTTTTTAGACTAAATACAAGAAAAATGAATATATTTATAATTTTAGGGGTTTAAAATTTGAGATTTTAAAATTTATTTGCAGTTTGGGCGCATTTAGATCAAATACCGTTAAATAAAGACCGCCGAGGGATTAGACGCAGAGTTTATGAAACCATAATAGAGTTTGATGCAGTTTTAAAAGTATAGAAAATTTAACGCAATTTCATGAAACGACGGATAAGTTTTGTGCAATTTAGCAAAAACTATATATATATATACAAAATTTTCCAAAACTCAACTAGAAAGAAAAACAAATCTATTAACAGGTTTTACAGATTTTAACTCTCCCTTGTGATGTTGCATCAAAAAAAATATAATAAAAAATTCAGTAACAAAAGTGAGATAATTTAAATTAAAAATAATAATAATAATTTTTTGTGAAAAAAAAATAGTTTTTTTTTTTAAAAAAAAGAAGGGCTAAAAGCAGCATAGCTTTGTATTGGGAAAGTCCCTTTCAAACCTCCACTAAATGACACAATTCTTAATTAGGTTTCAGATTATATCACAGAAGCAAACAAATCTGCACCCCATAAAGTAATAAAAAGCCAATTTGCATCCATCCCCATACTGAAAATATAAATAAATAAATTAATTAATTAATACAAAATAAAATAAAATAAAAAAATGACAGAGAAAACCCTGATTTGCATTCTGCATCTAAATAGATACAAATTAAAATGGAAAAATCAAATACGTAACATTATTGTATTTTTATGTGCAAGGTTGTGTATTTTTGTGTATCTGTACACATTTCTACAGAAAAATTCAAAATCTTTTGCACTTTGGTTTTTTCTTACATTCTTTACCAAGAAATTTCTTATGAAAATTATTTAGGACCACATCTCACATACACCTTTGCTTTAATAATGAATGGCTACATATAAATTTATTGCAAGTAATTTATAATTTATATTGGTTTTTTTAATCATTTTACACGTCTATTATATGAGTTTACAAGCTATAAAAATGAAATAATATAGTATCTAAAAATAAAATGCTTCTTTCGACCCGGAATCATAGCATAAATAATATTATATTGAAAGTGAATATAGAATAAATAATAAAATATTCAAATGTCCTTATTATAAAACTGTAAGAATAATTTGAAAATGATATAATTATTTTTTAAAATGATACTATTATTTTAAAATAAATAAAAATAGAAAAATTAAATTATTATTTTGTGATGGGAGAGTAGTAAATAACATAGACTGAAAGAAAGAATTTAGTAGAGCATATATTATATTGCTGTGAATTGTGGTGATATAAAATTAATTCGACTTATAAAAATAAGAATAATATTATATATATTTCCAATGCTTATGTAACGTGACAGGTCATTCTTGTTGACCTGACACATATAGTTCATATTAATTTTAATAATCATATATAAAATTTATTTTGGGGAATATAAACATGCACCTATGTGTCTTTTTTAAAATCCCAAGAAATTTGATTAAAAAATAGAATAACTCCAATCAAATTTTGGGTCAACATAAACCTCTAGGTCATGTCACTCAGAGAATAAATAAATAAAATACTGTAATTTTTATTTGGTCTTATTTAAATATTTATTACTTTCCGCCATTATCATTATCATTTAGCAAAAATCATCACAACCCTATAAATCTACCAATATCAATGAAAAAAAAAAAAAAAACATAAAAAATATAGGGACATGAAATAAAAACAAAGATCATAGAAACATTCACAGCCGATTAAACAATGTAAATTAAACATCAATAACAACAAATTAAATTGTACTAATTAATTTATTAATTAAAACTTAGGTTGTCACAACCTAGGATTGCTTCCTCCTCAATTATTCTAAGCATGTGATGAACTGCTCCTGCTATGTCATCTGCTGAGTTCAGTTGGCAACCTTCTTCCACCTGCAAATATAAAATATAAAATAAAATAAAATAAATATATAAATGTATGTGTAATATGTGAATGAATTAATCGAAACAAACCTTAGAATATGTTTACCCAAAACCCTAAATAAAGACAATCTATGAACAGTTTCTATATATAAAAATGGCCACTAAATTATGGGGCAATAGTTCCCTTTCCGAAAGCATTGCACATGTATGTTTAAATCAAACCATTTCCAAATTGGTAAAATCCCCCAAAATAAAAAACCCAATTTTATATAAGTATGAATTTTTTGAAAATTTAAAATAAAAAATTTATACGTACTACTGACTATTTACTAGCAGAATCTTTAAACAGTACTTAAGATGATGTGGAAATTCGTACAGACTGTGTAAAAAAAAGTAGATTCTTTTGCATGCTGAAGTCATTTTCTTACAGTGTCAGTTTTGTTGCCATTATACGTACTGCATATATATATATGAATTGTAACAAACAAATAAATAAATAGAAACCAAAAAATAACATTGAATCGTTAGAATATGGTGAAACAATTTTTCATTTTTCATTTTTCTTTATAGAGTGAAACAAAGTTAATAAATGTGGTTTGTATTCTTATCATCATCATGCTTTGTAAAAAAAGCCTTAGAGTGAGAGAAAGAAAGAGAGAGAGAGAAACATGACCAACGGTCCATACAAAATTAGGACAGTGACTTCTCCTGTCTCATTATATGTAACTTCATAGAGTAAATTGCAATTTTAACCATGTTAAGACATTTAAACAACTACATGCAAACGAACAATAAAAACCATAAAAAAAAAAAAAAAAAAAAAAAAACCCAAATTTTGTTTTATCCTATATACTAAGTTAACAAACAATTTTAAAAAACATCACATGTGTTCTCAAGATATCTTCGAATATTATTGGTAATTCAAATAGCTAATATATACTTTATCCTAAGGAATTATAAATTTGAGTACAATGAGTATATATGATACTAATTTTTTTTAAATGTGTTTCATCAAGATATCTTCAATTCAAGTGGCTAATATATACTTTATCCTATATATATATATATATATATATATTCGGATAACTTTAAAAAATATATATATCGAATGAATGGACAAAATTCGCAAGAGAGACTTATCCATGTGCGACGTACCTTAGCGCTAATGGAGTAGAGCACGAATGCGTCCAAGGTAGTGACATTGAGGTGGAGAATCGAGAGGAGGACTGAATGGAAGGCGGCGACGATCTTTGACAGCTGGCGGACCCTCCGGCGAGAAAGAATCCGGATGTTGGCGTGGGTTTCGATTAAGGTGACTTCGATGTCGGCAATGGCAGCCTTGGTTTGGGATGAGAATTTGTTGCCCAAATGATTGTTGTTGTTGTGGTTGTGGGAACAGCTGAATTGAGGGTATGCAAAGAATTGAGCAAAAGGGCTTCCCAAAATGGATTGGTTGGTGTCGACAAGATCATTGTGATGATCAAGATTTGGATTAGGGTTAGGGTTAGGGTTTGGATTAGGGATGTGGTCCTTGTTTTCTTGGCCATTTCCTTTGAGCAATAATGAATACTTCTTGGCCTCAAGTGACTGCAAAATGTGCTCAAGTTCCTTCACAAACTCTATGGCTCCACCAACAATCGAAGCTTGGTCACCCTACAAAATTTTTTTGAAAAAAAATGTTGTTAGGAAGAGTTTGATTTCAATTTTTTTTTTTTTTTTAAATATTTGGAATGAATTAATTTAAAATGAGAAAACAAGGGAGGGGGAGAAGAACAGTAGAGTAGTGTTTGAAATGAAAAAAAATGAAATGAAGCCACAACTGGAAAGTAATTAATGATGTATGAAACATGGTACTTATGCAAGAATATTGAAATTTCATCAATACAGCAGCAGCAGGGACAATAACAAGACAGGAGAGAGAAAGCAAGAGATAGAGAAAAATATATCATATCATATCATATCCTATCTATTTCTAGAGAGAGAGATAGAGATAGAGAGAGAGAGAGGTATAGTTACGTCACTATGTTCCGTTCAGTGATCAGAAGTGTGAAACAGTCGTAGAACTATTAAAATTATCAAAAACTTCCGATGGGATTCTTAAGTTTTTAAAATATATATATATTTGAGCAGAATGCATCCATTCCATTGAAACTTGGTTGTTGAGAGAGAGAGAGAGAGAGAGAGAGAGAGAGAGAGGTAGTGATTTTGTTATATATATATATATATAGCTGGGACTGACTATCCTTTGTCATATATGGTTGTCTCCTACTTAAAAAAAGAATTTTAAGACAATAATGCCATGAATTACAGAATCAAATCAACAAGACTAGAGAGAAGAACGCATATTATAGACTCTATCTATCTATCAAATTATTTTTTTAAAAAAAAAAAACACTAACACTGTTTCCGAATCAAACTCCACCTCCAAAAACACTTCCACACATAATCAAGAACAAAACTTCCAAAACAAAAAAAAAAAAAAAAACAAATCATTCACCAGTACAGCAACGAAGTAAAAGAGAATTTGGATTCTCTAAAGAGACAAGAAGAGATAGAGGAAATTAAACAATTGGGATGATAATAAAGAATAATAATACTAAAATTAAAGAATTGATTATAGATGTAATAAATAAATAAATGTGCTTACTCTTTGGACATAAGATTCGGGCATGAGAGACCTGAGAACAGCCAAGTGTTCATTCATTTGCTTGCGGCGGTTGCGTTCGACGGCAATGTGGGTCATTCGCTGCGTCTCCGCTTCCTTCTTGTTCTTGCACACTTTGGGCCTCCGCCGCCGCTTCTTCCTCCCGGACTCCGCCGCCGCCGCCGGAGGAGAGTTGTCGGAGGAATCGTTGCAGAATGGAGGAGGAGGAACTGGTGGAGCTGAGAGATTGGAATCGTACATGATGAAGTTCAACAGCTCTGTCGAAGACAGTGCTTCCAGAGCCATTTCTTTTTCTTTGTTTTTTTTTTTACTTTCTTTCTCACTCTTCAGAACCACAATCTCTCTCTATTTCTATTTCTCTCTCTATATATATGTTGGTTTTGAGAAGAAAAGAGAGGAAGGTGTTGAATTTAAAGGTTGGTAATATTTATTTGTAAAAGTGATGGGGTTTGATGGATGGATGGATGGATGAATCTCTTTCTTTTCTTTAGAGCAGAAGTAGAAGAAGGGAAAAAGAAGAGAGGAGATTTGAGAAGCCCAATAATACACTATTGACTTGGTGAGATTATAAAGGCTTCAATCATTTTATTGTCTTCTTCAACTTTTTAGAGAGAGAGAGAGATGAAACTCTGTAAGAGAGAGAGAGGTTCTTCCCTTAATTGCCTACTTTTTCGATGCAGAAAGGGGAGGGGGAGGGGGTGGGGGGTACATCTATAGTGTCTTCGCACGTGTATGATGATGATGTGTGTGTTTCTCTCTCTCCATCTTTCTCTCTCTCCCCACTTCCTTTTATTTTATTTATTTTTAATGGTAATTGTTCTTAAATTGCTTTTTTTTTCTGTGTGTATTTAATTTCAAATCAAATTATCAATATTTAATTTATATTATTTTTTTAATAAAATATGATATTAACATAATATTTAAGTAAAGTTTAAATTAACACTATTTTAAGTCAATAAATCTACATAATTATTGTATAAACAGAGCCAATGTGTCTTTTAGTTAAAAAATTTATTGATATAATTCTTATATGGTTTAATTGTCATGAAATAAAAAATAATTAAATAAAGTGCATTTTCCATCCTTTGCATGTATTCATCTTAATAATAATAATAATAATAAAATCAAAAGCCTTTGGGAAGAAGATAAGTAAGTTTGTTCCTTTCGAGTTTTTAATCATAATTTTACTATTTAAATTAAATTCTTTAATTTCAGTAGAAAAAAATACTCCCTCCGTTCACCTACTATGTCCACATTGTTGTTTCTGTCCGTCGCACATCTCATGTCACTTTTTTTTTTTAAAATAATTATACAGTTTAATATCATTTTAAAATTTATAATTTATAATTTTTTTTTAGTTTTAATTAAACTAATTAGTTATTTTAATCTTAATTTATAATTATTTATATTATAAGATAATTATTTTTACTAATACATTCTTAATTATCTACTAATTATATTTATCATAAATTCTCGTGTCTACCAGACATCCAATGTGGGACGGAGGGAGTATTATATTTATCTCAGACGAAAAAAGGTGTACTCATATTGTTTTGCAAAAATGTTAAATTGTGCTTAGCTTCTTGCAAGCTCGATCCAAAAGTGTTAGAGAAATTTTCACATTTTTATCGAAGCTTGTCACGATACTCATCGTCATTTCACTTCATTGAATAAGTTAACCAATCATATATATGTGCATTATTTATATTCACCGTGAATGTTATTAAATTTGCGACATTGAGAACATATATAGACATAAGAGTATACTTCGGTTTGTATTCCCCGACTCTTGCTTCACTTAAATCGACAAAGATGTGTCAACCCATTTTCGGCGAATTGTCTACATTTTGCATTTCCCTTTATTATCGACTACAAGCGAGTAGGTAGATCAGATCGGGATGCGATTTTGCCGAGGTTTAAAACATTCTAACATTTAGTTTAATTTCAGCATCATATGGATATATATTGAGAACATAGTTGTGACAGACAATATATAAATTTATAATGTCTCAAATGTCTCAATCCATTTATAAGAACCATTGTTTCCCATACTCATTGTTCCATTGTCATTTTTTGACTCATTACATGGTAGGTCCTGCAAAATATATGTATATTTATTTAGACATACATACATATATACATACACAAATTTATGAATGTGTGTATATATATATATATATATATGGGAGGGGTTTAGAATAGCCATAATGTGGCAGAAAACAATTATTACATAATATGGCAGATCCAGTCGAATTTTTTAAGTGGGTGCACAATTTGATAAAATATCATTACAATATATTTACTTTGTTCCGGTTAATTTATCCACATTAGTTGAGCACGGAGTTTTAGGTATTAAGTAATTAGTAATTAATTAAAAAGTGAATTAGTAAAAAAAATAATTATAAATTTAAGATTAAGATGATAAATAGTTAGTTTAGTTAAAATAAAAAAATTATAAATTATAAATTTTAGAACCTGATTAAAGTTTATACTTATATTTAAAAAAAGAAATGATAAATTATGTGAGATATATAAAAATAGAAAAAGTGAATAAATTATGTGGGACACAGAGGGAGTAATACATATAAATTACAATTATCCTTTACATGTTTTTATAAATTAAAAATATTTAATCACATGATTATTTGTAGTTAAAATTGAAGAAAAATTATGATTGAATTATAGAGTTGCGATAAAAATAAAATAAAATTAAAAAAATTATCAAATCGACATACTTTGTATCTGATGCCGTCATTTGAATACAAAATACAATAGAACGAAAAAAATTACCATTTGAATAAAAAGTACACAAATAATAATATAAGAATATATATTATAATTAATTATATAATTTATCATTTAAGTATATATATATATATAAATTCAAGTAGGGTCATGTGACCCCGCTTCTTCAAAGTGAATCCGTCAGTGGTTATATATGTTACCTAAAATTATTTCATGTATTTCTAATTATCTATTATATTTATATTATATTAATATATACTGTAATGTTGTATTACAAAGTTCAAGAAACACAACTATTTAAGATTAAGTAATTAACTAAACCTCGAAATTCATTGGGAATATTGGACAACCTTCTCTCTCTCTCTCTCTCTCGTTTGGTTGCTGGCCTTTCGATGTGTGGATAAGTACTGAATTGTGTGGCTTGATGGTCTCAAGTAATAGACATCAATTCTATTTGATTTTATTACTATCATTTTTATTTTTTTGATTGGACAAGAAATAAATAAATGAATGAATAAATAAAGTTGAAAACAAAAATTCATAAACAAGAAAGATGATTGCACAATGAGAGAATCAGAATGGATAATTGGATATCACTCCTCAACCATAACATAAACTCATCATCAACTTATCTATTCAAGTGTGAATTTGAAATTTTACAAACAGAACAAAAACCATATCCAATATATAAAATCCTTCAAAAATATTTATATAATAATAATAATAATAATAATAATATCATTCATATTTGTCTTCTTGAATTTCGTGAGAGTGAGTTGGTATGTTTAACAATTATTGTGCCTAATAATTTGTTGCTTATTGTGTTTGTATGTTATTCCCAAGACACAAAAATCCACTCTAGTGTTGAACCGAAACTAAAATAAATTTAGTATAACAAAAAATAAAAATAAAATAAATAAATAAATAAAAAAATTAGGTGTGTGAGTTTCTTTTTTCAATTATTTTTAATTTATTTTTCACTAGTATTATTCAAAAAAATACATTATACAGTTTTATAAAATATTATTTTCAAGTTACTATTTAATAAAAAAAAATATAAAAATATCAATCAAATACACCTAAATATTATGAGCACATAAGCGTGTGAATGAAATTAATTAAATCAAGGTGGATTCAATCAATACATGAATTTTGAATGCGGACAATGACGGTAGGATTCGAATACGAGACGTTATTAAATAACTATCTCCTTTAAAAATTTAAATTTAAATGAAAAAAATTGATTTATTTACTAATTATAAAGTCAATAGATATGTATTTGAGGAGGAACGAATGAGGATGGTATAACTCAAACATAGGATATCCCGGCTCTGATACTATGTTAAATAATCATCTTACCAAAAAACTTTTTAATAGTTCAGACATCATTCGCGATATGTATTATGTGAATTATTACTATGTAGTGTCAATTTATGACATACATTGGTGATATTTTAACATAAACTTGTGTTAAAATTAATTGTAGTATTTTCGATGTAAATATCTATTTGTATTACGTCAAAATGCCGTTGTACTGAAATCAACTGTGATGAATATATATATTGTATGAATTATTACCGTATAAATTTCTTGACAAAATCAAGGAAAGATTATGATATATATATATATATATATTGTAGATTGAGGAAATCAAAATACAATTAAACAAAATTGAAATGTTAAAAGGTTCGAATAACAACAAATAATAAGTCACTATGCCTAGGGAAAGGAGTTCTTCGGGCCAGTTCAATTATAACCATTTGTACAAATTCTCAAATTTAAAAACAAGTCTAGAAATTCATTACATAAATATCTTTTTTTTTAAAAAAAAATACTTATAATTGATAGATAATGATAATAAACCATGAAAGTATATGGAAAAATAAGTTGTTAATTTAGAAATTTGTGTTTATTTAAGGGGGCATTTGTTTAAATACCAATTTAATATGATTTATTTTAAGAAAAATTGTATGTACTTTTATTGAAAAAAAAATAAGGGCCAGTTAAAAAAATGTGAAAGATATGTGTTTCTTTTTAGTTTTCATAAAATTTTGTTATTGTTTAGGGTGTGTTTGTTTGTGTTTTGGTTCGAATAAAATTATTTTACGTAAAATATAGAAAATTTGTATTTAATATCAAAATAATAAATGTGTAGTATAGTAATTTTTTTTGGATTATCTATTGGAAATTTTTCACAAAACAAGCAAATTAGGCTTTAATTTTTCTTACATCAAGTATTATTTAAATTAAAATTTTAAATATCTAAATTAGAGTTTGTTCACCAACTAAAATTTTTCAACATTCTTTTCAATTAATATACTCTTTTTATTAAAAAGATCAACAATTCAAAATAAAATACTCCTCCGTCCGACTTTAAGGGTTTCATTTATCTTTTCTATCATTTAAGACTTAACATTAAAAAAATATTTATATTTGTATAATTTCTTACACAAATGTTGTTATAATAGTATTATAAGACACTAATATAGGTATTTTTGTCATTTTCTCTTAATTTGTACTATATTATCATATAATAATTAATATTTAAAGATCAACTTGAAAAAGTAAATGAAACTCTTAGAATTTAGAACTAAACGAAGGTAGTATTATTTTTATATTATCAATACATTTGTTTATACTTATATATTAAAGAAGTTTCAAAATCAAAACACAGACCAAACACATCCTCAAATCAGACATAAATTTTTTTATTTTTTTATTTTTTTATTTTTTAAAAAAAAAATCGTAAAATATAAAATGGTTTCAGACATTCATTCCCAAAGAGAGAGAGAGAGAGAGAGTAGAGAGAGAGAATAATTTTATATGGTTTGAGTTGAGAGAGATTCCGAAATGGAAAAGGGAGAGAGAGAAAGAACGTGAGCGTAGCTTTTGCACAGCTTTCGCTTCTTGTATTTATCCATA